TGGAACCATTTTGCCAAAGCTTCCACTGAAAGTTAAGAAAGAAAGTCTTGAGCTGGAAAATAGACCAATAAATCTGGGATCGAGAGTGTTACTTGTGATCCATGCAGGTACTTTGAAATACGACTCTCGATTCCGGGTAAATGTGATAATGCAAAAAAGAAAGGAAAAACCTACTTGAGGGCTATTTCATGAGGGCACAGTTTTGCGAACAAATTTTGCCTGCAATTCTGCGCCTCAAAGAATGTCGTATGTTTGGGCATATTTAGTTGAGAAATGGTGATGAGCGCGTTAGCATGTTTTGCTTGACTTTCACCTTTGATGGTGCACCTTTTAAGATGTAATGATAAGATTTGATGCAGGACACGGGAATTGAAGACAGCAAATGTTTTTATATGACAACCTCCCGAATAGGCCCATTTTAAACCGCTAAAGATTGCACAGGAATCTGCGGTTAGTGTGAAAGGTTGTGGACTGGACAGGCTGTATCATTCTTAGTGTTTCCTCCAAGCTGTCATGACAAATGTGCTCCTTATTTCAGTTATTAGCGCCTCATGACACACTCTCTCAAATCATACCTTACGGAGATATCAAATGTCATTGAAGACGGATTCCCTTGAGTGAAGTCTATCTCGACATTGCACGAAGGGTTGCCACAGTCAATTATGTCAGATGTGCCAGGAAATCCCACCTCTGACGCCCCTTCATCTCATTATTTGGACAGTTTTTCAGACTTTTTGTTGGCAAGCAAAGGTGGCCTTTGCACCTGGCAGACTACTGACTCACTGTCACCTGTCAGCTGGGCAGTGCTATCATATAGGATTACGCACATGATTTGGCTGAATCCAGTCCATTGTGTAGACCACTGCATGAAATGCTTTTTATTGAAAAGCCGCCGAGTCAATTGAATAGAGATTGTGTGCTCTGCGACCAGCTTTGTAGTCGGGTCCAAGAAAGCTGGTCTCTCTTGCTCTCTTGCATCTGATGGGCATGGGGGAGGTTGGAGGTCACTCCCTCTGTTGGTCTTGTGCAACAGAGCAGTAGGTATTCTTGCTCAATAGCACCTGTAGGTCCTATTACATTGTACAGGGTGAGTAAAAAAAAAACGAAACCCAAATGGCAGGACCAATTTTTGATAGAGGTTTTGCCTGTAGCACTTTCAAAATCTAGGATATGAAAGCCCAGTCGTTAAGCTTTCTTTTAGTACAAAAATCATTCAAATCACTCATAAAATGTACTCTTCAAGTTACGGAATTTTGAACACAAACACCATTTCAAAGTTCTATCCACAGATCACGAAAAATGGTCTTTCAGCAAAACGAAAACAATTCACATGCATCCCTGTGAGAATTGTTTTCGTTTTGCTGAAAGAACACTTACCTTTTTTGTGATCCGTGGACAGAACTTTAAAACGGTGTTTGTGTTCAAAATTCCGTAACTTGAAAAGTACGTGAGTGATTTGAATGATATGTGTACTAAAAGAAAGCTCATTGATTGGGCTTTCATATCCTAGATTTTGAACTTCATTCAAAAATTGGTCCTGCCATTTGGGTTTAGTTTGTGTTTACTCACCCTGTATTTATTCCCTGAACATGCTGAAGAATCCATTCAACCACCATAGAGTGCTTGGGCAGGTGTGGGCAGTATGTGGGGAGTAAACCATTGCAATTTTAAGTGGGATGGGGACTAGTGGTTTAGCAGGAATATTCCAAACTGCCAGCCTTAATATACTCTTATTTTTCTGCTTTTACATACATGTAGATATGAAATTCAAGTTTTATCAGTTAACCCTTAGTCACGTACCAGTAGCACCCAAAACCGCCCTGCCTGGTACTCCCTGTAGTACCCAAAACCAACCGAGTCCTCTGTGACTTTATGAATTCTTTAGTATTTTGTATAGTACTAAAGTTGACAGTAGCAAAACTACAAGTGGATGTAGTTTTGTTGAAATGCTCTGTTGTACGGTACATGTATTTATCAATGTCTGTCTTTGCATGCAATATTCTTATTATGATTGACATGGGGAAACACATCATATTCAGGATCCGGGAAATTTGTTTTTCATGTAAACACTGTGTGTAGCGTGTCAAGAAGCTTTTCGTTTCCCCTCGAATGCCCCCCCCCCTTCCCCCGGGGAAACACTTCGTCAGCTTTTCCTGATCGTAGGACAAGTTTATTGGCTTGCCAGGCAAACCAAAGGAGGCAACTTTAGTCTCGGCAATTTTCATTCATGGCACGCACGTTGCAGTCTCTTAATTATGTGAGGTGCCAGTGGCCTAATTGGAATCTGGTCCATATTTGTTTTATTTGGGGGGGGGGTGTTTGACTAAACTGTGTCAAAGTACGGATGACTATTAATGACTAATGATCATTGCTGAGTGACTGTGTTGCACATGTTTAGATAATCAAGAAGATACTTATAATTAGCCAAAACCACCCGCCCATTGATTGAATCGTAAAAGCCTACATCCTGCAAATGGTGTTAGATTAGTTGATGGACTGAAGACTGAAGTTGTGGTTTTTGAACCACACTTTGGGTAGTTCTGTGCAGTGTTGGTTCAGCGCTTGTCGGAGCTGTGTGCTGACTGATGCAGAAAATCTACAGACATGTATTGTAACTATTATTTTAATTAATTTCTACTTCTGAAGTTAGAACTTTTTGCTATGTTTACTGCTTACAGAATGAAGTAGAAGACGCGTCAATTGGTAGAAAGTGAAATACTGAGCAGCGTTATGTACATGTCAATTTCATTTGACTAGCTACACATGTACATAAAGTGCAGAGCCTTCTTTGAAATTGGGTCCATGCGATTTTGCTAATCCAGTTTAATTGATTTAAGCATGTGGAAGTTTCCGGGAAAATTTAAAAAACATGTATGTTTTCCCAGTGGAGCATTTCGTCGGGCTCAGGAAATTCACCAATTTAGATGTTCTAACTTGTCCAATTCCAAAGTCTTCCTAATGAGCAGTAATTCAAGGACCGTACTCAAATCCCTCCTCCCTCATTCCCCGCCTCCTCCTTCCCATTTAATCCCTCTTGATAATGATGATCACTGCCTCTCCACGCCCTGCGACATCACCGGAAATCCAATCTATTGTTATTCCCTGACAATGCTGTTAGTCGAAGACACTCCTGTGGGTTGACATAGTGGACTGTAATCCGATGTCTTAGACTTGATCCTTCAGTTAACTGAGCTCCCAACCCCCACTGAAAGTCACTGGTCACCTGGTGATCCGTCTAGAGATGTCACGTTCTTAGAACCAAGCTGGTAGACAGATGAATCAGATTTAATCATTTTTCATCATGTACTGCCAATTTTGTTTCGCAATTCTCTCCAGGATTTTGAAAGTGTCTCAAAGCAAGGATGATACCATGTTAAATTGTTCACCTGCTACATGTACCGGTACCAGTATTATGGCAAATAAAACAGCTCCATTTGAATCTGGGTCTTTCTGTACATTTAGGGTCCAAAGTGTGACGTTTTGTCTTGTCCCTGTTACCGGTACCTTACTTTTTAATTTGCCATTCAAGTATCATTAGAATTGACTTCAAACATTTTTTTTTATTTATCGGGTAGGTAGTTTGCTATAGACCATAATCATGTTGCGGCCATCTTGCCTTCCAAAGCGATGCTGGAAGGAAAACTAGTCTGGTTCCTTTTTGCGCAAAAAATATTATCATTCAATACTGTTATGGAATACAGGTAATATGACTGAAATGATGGCATGATAAAGGTCTATTCATAATCACTCTCAGTGGATGACTGCATTAAGGAGTGCATCAGAATTATACAATCATAGATATATCAGGCGTAACAGGGACAGGAAGAAAGGGTCCCCAAATGTATGGAATGACCCATCTGTGACTTCTAGGGACCCAAGTGCCACTTCAGTGGCTCTAAAGAGAGAGAGAAAGAAAGAGTTGGGAGAATCTGCCTCCATACACCTTGGGCTCACAAGAAGATTGCTTACATGTATTCAGAATAAACTAGTCATGTGTACTTTGTGGTGGTAGTCAATTTCCAAAGGAGAATTTGAAGTCAAGACAATTTCTTTTTATCAACTACAAACATGCAAATTTAGAAAGACCTGTTAACAAAAACAATGGAAGGACAAGCAACTGTGAGCTTGCCCCCTCCCCCTTGCGGCTCCGCCCACAATTTCCTTACCCCCTCCAAGTTCATTTCAATCTGTCTTGCTTAGTCATGACACTTTCCCACATCTCAAGTGAAATGCAAGTTTAAAACCCAGCTGAGGGTTGATAATCGCGCACATCCTCGAGAAGATAAACCGATACAGGTGAGTGGGAAACCTCGCGTTTGTCACAATGACTCGCTGCGCCACATTTCTTAGGAAAAAAAATCTGCCTTTGGGCCCCGCCCAGTTTTGTCATCCAATCGTATTTGTTTTGTTACGTAGATTAGCCGCACCTGGCTCAGACAAAGCCGTAGTCATCCCGCCGCTCATTCTGACAACCGTCTGCCACTGGTAACCACATACCGAGCACCGAGTCCAACAATAGGTTATTCAACACTTAGTCATGCTGTCTGCGATCCAATAATCCCCACAAAAAAAAATCTGATTTCGTTTAACTGATTAAGACACCACTTCCTCTCTCCCCGCCCATGCCACGGTGACCGAGCGCACTCCACAATGATTCTCTTACCGATCCCCCGACCCCCGATAGACTTTGTAACCAAATAATCCCACCACACATTGCTCATCATTCCCATCTCACAAAGGACCCCAATGTCATCCGGTTTTGTTGAAAGAGGCACGTGTTCTTCACGTTCGCTTTATCACATCGTGGATCAGTCCAACCAGTCTAAGGCAACAAAAGTCACTCTGTCTGTTTTGTCCGTCTGATCTTCAAGACAGACTCGTGCCTTTAACGCAATTTCCTCTTTTTTTTATTGTCTTCGTTGTGCACACCGACTGATTGTTCATTGTGTTTGGGAAACTGTCTCTGAGTATCAACTTCCTTTTTGTCTTTTCCGATACAGACTACCTAGATGAGAACATGAGTCGCATGGAGAAGTCGCTTGGTAAGCATTTCAGTTTATTACGTTTATTTTATCTCTCCTGTTTTTAAGTCTTAAGTTTGAGAACATATTCAAAGGTGTGTTCATATTTCTGTAATCGGAAGAGTAAAAATCAGTGCTTGATATCAAAATGTATTGCATTGTGATTTTGGGCATGACAGAAGGCGTGGGCGGGATAACCTCATCCAATGAAAGAATATTCATTTGCACACCAGTTTTTATCAGTTGCTATGTGTTACCATTCAGCACTCCAGACTCAAGAACCATTGAGTTTCAAGAAAAAGGGTCTGGGAGCTAGATAAGCCAATGTAAAAATATTCCCGGATGTCCGCGAACACCTATGAGAAAATACTCAGAGCTTGTTTTTTTTCCCACCCATTTTCCTGCTTTCATTGCACCAGTGAAGACCATGTTTAAGCAGAAGGTCATGGGTTTGAGTTCCAAATGAACAAGCTTGTGAATTTCCCTTGAATGAAAGTGCTGATTAAACAGCGAAGGGTACAACCCCGTGTTGAAATTTTACACCTCTATCACTGTAATTTGTCTTCCTTGTCGTCTACCAAAGAACTCCACGGCAAATAAGGTGAAAAAATCGCGTGGGCACTTCCGGTCGGAACGCAAATACATAATGATTATATCTGGTCATGGAAATTTACATGCATGAAAAAGAATTTTACAGTTTGGGACAAATGTGTAGGAGGAAAAGTTTTGAAAGACATTCCCACGAAAAGTAGAATCTGGCAGGGACTGTAAACCCACTTGACTTGTTGGCCGGGGTAGGATTCGAACCCTTGCTACAGAAGTGGAATGCAGAGTATCACTTTGTCAACCTGTCTTCCCTGAAAAATCCCATGTGTTGAAGCGGGTTTACTAAGTTAACCAAGAACAAGAAAAAACGCTTTTTGACCACTTTTGAAAAGACCTGTGGACGGAACACACAGCGTGCACGTTCTGGTTTGTGAGCAACACATTATATTTTGAATATGCATTAAGCCATAGCATCTTCGCATCAGGTATTGTTGTCATTATGTTCCAATGTCCCTCCAAGTGGTCTCCCCCAACTCTCCTTTTGGCACCATTGAGGGGGTACTTATGCACGGAGCCCATAGACAAAAACTAAACAAAATGTACAGTGTACTCTAAAGACCCAAATAGCCCTTTGCCCTCAGAAATCATACAACCGATTAGACTAACTCAAGTGGACATATATTATCACTGGTTATTAAGACTTGGGCAGTTTGAGCACTGGGCACAGATGGGGCCAAAGAATAAAAGGGGGGGGGTTATACGTGTACCTTGACCTTGTCGCATGATGATAATTCGTCGTGAAGCCGCAGGGCTACTCTGATATGGGTTTGCGTGAGAGTGTGGTTTTATGGGAAGGGTCAGCCTGTCCAGTTTGTTTTGGGGGTTGAGGCTGATCTGGTGAATCTTGCTTAAAGCAGAACTTAGTGCTTACCAAATTTGTGATTTGGTCGATGGTTGATTTGAATAGCAAAACAGCAGATTATGTCCTGCCTTATGACATACCGGTACCGGTATGTTTGAAATTTCTGAGAGTTTTGAATTGTATCTATGGGCAAATCCAGTGTTATGAAATGTCTGTGACAGAGCTTTTAAGAGTTCAGTGAGTACACTTGAAGATATAGTTTTCAAATCTTATCCATCATCTTGTAATGGTCAAGGAGATTGCAGACCAGGAGTTTTGGATCCTTTCTGTGAATCACTAATTAGATGACACCATCAGGGACATTACACCTTTCATATTAATGCTTTCATAATTCTTACAAGAAACTTGACAGACTCTTACTGGGAGGATCAGTGCAAACTGAAAATCAAAAACCTGTCTTAAAGCGTGACATCCATAATGGTTGTCTACAGTGCTTATACCGGTATCTCATTAATTAATTCAGCTAACATTACACTAACCACATCATGTTGTACGTTAAGGCCTAAGCTGGAGTTCCAAATGTATACAATTTGCTTTCACTGCCAGTATTTTCTTTTGTTGTTTCAACTTGGTCTTGGGCTTTAAATGCAAAGTCCGTTGTTAAACAACCATAATTCAGAACTGACTTTATTCTTGCAAGCTCATTTTTTGATTTCTCATTGCAGTGGAACTGGACGAGCAGAACCGCAGCATGTCGGACGAGTTGATGGATAACAGAAGGAACTACTCAATGCTCAACTCTGAGCTGTCCATGATTAACGCTCGACTCAACTCGGGTGCCGCAGGAGGTGAGTCATCCAAACAATAGAAACATTTGTCCTGACAATGTGTTTGCAATGATTCTCACTGCTATAGACTGCTCAGAGGGGGCTAACACTGTACATTCAGGAAAGCCCCCATCAGTGGCTGGAACATTGTAGAAAGCAACAGTAGCTGGCAGAATGCATTTATCAATGAAGAGGGGCCTTTGTGAGTGTACTCGGAATGGTCTATACTACATGTACAAAGCAGTTTGTATGGGTGGGTTATCCTTTACGACTGAGGACTTGGGACAGTGGGGTGTGTGCGATAACAATAACCCCAAGGACCTGGGCACTAGTCCTCGGGAGAATTTCATGTACAAACCTTGTAGGAGCTGTCGAGAAAAAGTTAGTACAAAGAAAAGGGAACAAAAGAAGGAAAGGGGCAGGTCCTCATGAGTGTAGTAAAAATGAGCTTGGTGTGTGCAGGTGTGTGTCAGAACACGTACATGTAGTGCTTTTTAGTGGACTTTTAAGCCAGAGACGACAATAGGGTTCACGATTGGGTGAAAGTCCATTGTTGGAAATAATCTGTAAAACCAATCAGGGTTCTTCCCAATAAGTTGGAGTGCCGGTATCTACAGTAGGAGGTCCACAATTCTAGATGTTTACTTGCATGGATGTGTGTGTTCGTACCGTAAGTTGCTTATTAATATCCTTGATATGCCCACAGTGCGCAGTACTGGTAGGTGGGGCCTAGTGGTTCGATCTATTGGAGTTTTGAGTTTGGAAACACGGAATGAAAACACTTGAGCTGTAATTCTTAGGGGGTTACTATGTACATGTGTGTCCCGGGAACAGGATGAAAATGATAGCAAAAGTGTATTATGATGCACAAGTAAAGTATTATTTTCTGAGTCAGTCACCAGGCGACCTCCACGTGATTTGAACCAGAGCGACCCTTAACTTCTCTTTCACAAATTGACACAATGATTTGTCTTCATCATAGCAAGTCATGTTTGACCAGGATGTCATGTAGCCCAGGAATGTCAGAATATAAAATGAATAACTTGACTGGCTTTTAATCGTAATGCTAACTTGCTAGAGGTGGTAGGAGAGGAAATCGGAAGCCATACATTTCCTCAGATCCCTCGATCCAAAACTGTCGAGTTGCATGTTTCAGGCCATGGGACTTGCAAGTGTGAGAATCTAGATCATCCTTACCCTGACATTGACTCCAGTTTAGGTTTCCCGAGGCGGCAGAGTGATTTGCCCCAGTTTTTTTTTCATGTCCAGAGTTCATGATGTACATGTAGTTCCGTTGAAATAAAGAAGAGAGTCGTCCTTGATTGAGGTGGATGTACTTTAAGTTACCTTGATTGCATCTTTCAGCTCGGCCAATTCAGGGAAATGACATTCATGGTATTTGCGTAACTTTTGCAAGGCAATTTGGAAATTGCACGAGCAACTTGTTTATATCTAGTTCAACTTGTGCTGCAATACAGAATTGTATCCAAGCCATGAGTAACTTTGTGTCAGTTACAAGCTATCGTCTGAGACACTTGCAGAATTCTTGAATAGAAAAGCAGAGCAGATCCTCTGATGCCTTTGCTTCACTACATGTATATAATGTTTGGCAATCTAGATTACAGACAACTCACAAGGTTTTTTTTATATTTTATTTTTGTGAGAGAGAAATAGTCGCCAATCACAAGGCCCTTAAGGGCCACTTAAGGTGAGGGAGCCCTACACAAAGAAGGAATGGAACAAGAAATCTCAGAAAAAGAAAAAATACTGTAAAAGTAGAAAGATAAATATTGACATTACGCTTAAACTGGGAAAGATCAAAATCAACTGGAAAAGAAGTTACAAGTAAGGAATTCCGTAGTGAGGTGGTGCGTGGGAAAAACTACCGGTAGATGATTTCTTAGAATTTGATTTAATACTCAAATATTTATGTCCATTAAAGTCCATTGGAAGGAAGAATAGGAGAATTTTGGTGTATTTGCGCCAAGTTTTGGATATTATAAAATTTGTGAGAGTTATCTTGCCTGACTTTGGTGAGTAAACAAATCTTCTGAACATTTAGACTTGAATGCCGTAGTAGTCATTAGCTAGAAGATCCTCACTATTTGACTTATGAGCCGTTAAAACTCACAGTCTGTCTGTTTTGGCTGAGAATCAGTTGTACAGTTTGTACATGTGAGTCACACTGATGTTTGGCTAGAATTCAGGTTTGGATCTTGATTTATGGGTGTGCTTGGTATTCTCACAGCAAGGTGTTTCCACTGCAACGCTAAACAAATCCAGTGGCAAGTCTCACAAACTTTATCCAGTTAATTTCCAGCTGTGGACCGTCAGGTTTAAATTGATGACTTTCTTGTCCAGAATATGTGATAATCAGTTCCATACTGTACGTGAATAACCTGTATAATATCCTGTAGTGTCAGAAGTGGGATCAGGATTTCTGTTGTCCATCCTGATTAATGAGATATTTCAACAGAGCCGCCTCTCGAAGAGCCACTCACTTCCAGCCCCGGTCAGAACCTGTTGACAGCTTAGACGGTTTTCTTTTCTCTCTCGTTGCACTCAAAGGCTCAGATTCTGTAATTGACAGCATGTGTAGTGTCCTGTAAAGTCCTGCTTTTCCAAAGTGTTGCGTTTTTGAGGAGTTAACACAGTTTTCCTTTTTCTCTGGACGTGTGAGGACATGGCAATCTTGGCACCTTTTAGACTGAGGACTGGAAATTTTCTAGATGCATGTCGTTTTGTCATTTTTCACATTTCTACCACCTTGCCTCTCTTGTGGATGCCCTGTTTTTTTCATGGTCCAACGGTTATGGCGTGACTCACATGCGATGGTAAATGATTTTGAACCCAAAATGGAACATGGTTCTTGTGTTCCTGGGCAAGACACTTTACTACAATTGCTTCTTTCTACCCAGGATATAAATGGGTATACCTGTGAGGGTAGAGACCAGATTGCACTGATCTCGAGCTGCCGCAGAAAAAATGGTCTCATGGCCTGATGAACAGGGGTGATGCTTTGAGACTTCGATATAAGGCGCTATTACAAGCACCACATCTTTATTATTATTGATGGTACATGTAGTATCATTTGAGTTTGTTGTTTGCACGACAAACAACAAAACTCAGTTCTAGCTCTTCAAATTAAAAGTGATACAAATTAAAGGTAGCCTTCCAGACCTAATTAACGAATTAATTTCTTTTTCACCATGGATTGTACTCAGGAATTCCTATTTTCCTATCAGGATGCTTGACTTAATGTGATTATGAACTTGCTAATTATTGACAGTAAATTATTACAACGGATCAAACTTCATTATCAAATTATCGCCTTCTTCAAGTTCGTCATCTTTGTGTGGACTAATCCTGTTACGCTTCTCAGATATGGAGGTGAGACTTTTGGAGTCTTGAATTTTATGCTTCAAGGTGTAATAATTATTTCTTAATAAAAGAGGAGTCGCATTTGAGGGTCTTACTGTCCGCAGAAACATTTCGAAGGTTCAGTAAGATCAAATACATTAGAAATTTTATGGCTTTATGTATTTTAATTTTCTGCATCAGTGGATAATGGATGGAAAATATTTACCCTTACTGAAAAGGAGTACTGGTTTTGAAGTGAATCGTGTCCACTTTTCAAACTGTCTTTAAAAAAAATCAGTATTTCTGATTTTTTTTTTTTGGCCTCATGATAAAGAACTTAAACTAGGGATGATGGAGAATGACTTGTGAAAACGTTTGATTTCCCGTCAATTACTAAACATTCCGAAGGATCTTATGACTCTTATTTATTTGCCCTTGAACAGACCCTTCAAGGAATTTCAGTGCCTAATTTGATCCATCTGGTATATTTGGATCATAAATTTATGACCAAAATCCTTGAACTCGATGTTTGATTTATTTAAATAGTTATGAAGATTGCCTCTGACAGAGTTTTATGCCATCATATTTTTGGGGGCAATTTGCGGAATATAATCTAATGCTCCCTTGGGTATAAAAGACATGTTTGCTTTTATAAATATATAATCTGCGTTTGATTACTGAGTGAAATCACTCGTCACCTTGTCCGAGAAATTCGTTGGGGGGGGGGGGGAGGGGGGGATAAGATGAAGTTGGGGCAATCTTGTGGTGAAAGCGGGCGGCAGGAAATGTCAGCCTGGAAAAAGGAAGTTGGGCTCGCTAGCCTTGTCCTATCTCAGCGTAATCTTGGCATCAGCTCTCTCTCATCAAGAGAGTTTTTTCCCCCTTTTTGGGGGGATGAATTTGCCCTTGTGAAGGACTCCATTATTTTGCCTGTAATGAACCCTACCTTCATGTTCATGCACACACGTGTATACCCTCCCTCAGAATGAGTAACTGAATACAGCACTGTAACTTAATACCCCAACATCCATTTGGGGACGATTCTTGCCAAGTTATTTTGGGAACAAATTGATTTCAGAGGAAATTGGATCTACAGAAGGAAATTAAACAGGAATTAGACAAAAAGACTGCTTTAAATGAAGTATGACTCGGAAAAAAATCGGAACTTTTGAATTACAAATGTAACAGTCAAGGGTTTAAACAGATATGACAGACTGGAATCTAGGTAGAAGTTGGAGAATTATCACAAATCTTTCTTGAAGATGCACATTTTCCGCGAAATGTGATTGGATAAAGGGCATTGTCAATTAAAATCAAATATTCTTTTAGATCCATCTAGGATTTTTGTAAACAGTTGATTTTCATGGGATCCGTTGGTTCGAGAGGCATCTTGCAGTTTTTACTGCAAACTCATGACATGTTTGAGATTTCATTGCCTGAGACTTGCTCCCTCTACCAGTATCTTATGATCAGTTTTCTTGTTTTCAGAGAAATCTGAGCCCAGGCCTTAAAAGTCTTTGATGTAGGCTATTTTATCATTTTCCTCTGCCAATTTTTGCTTGTTATAGGATCGACCTTAAGTTGCAAACATAAAAAAGGGGACCTCTGTAGTTAAAAAAATACATAACTTCAGAAATGAAGTGCAAGTGTGGATTTTAACAAGTTGATATTCTGTAATGTAATTGACAACTGTCTGGTTTGACCACTTCGTTCTACATGTATTTGACAGATTGAACAAGTGTTATTGATCATTTCCTTGTGCATGCATGTACATTGCATTTAAACATCAAAACATTGACAGTGATTTAAAACTTGACATTATTTAACTTTGTTCCTGTCTTTGTCTCTGTGCAGTTTATGATCCACAACAAGTCTTCAAATGCAAGGGAACGTTCGTTGGACATCAGGTATTTATAACACACTTTTCATTTTGTTCCCCCTAAAATTTGAGGTGACACTTTCCATAACTTAGCTTATTTAGGAAAATTTGCCACAGTGAGTGATTTTGTGGTCCTTGAAAATGACAAAATGGTTTTGCTTGTACATAGCATTTAAAGGCCATGATAGTCATGGCATATTGGAAGAGTTTTAGTTGAGTCTGCTTCAGGGTCCAACAAGAACATTTTGTTTTTTGTACATGTTCACTGAAATATTTTCAGATACATGTGCTCCAGATATGTGGGCTTTTATTATGGATAGGTATCTGAGTATTTGGGTTTAACAGCGTGCTGAAAAAATGTCCAAGAATTTGCAAAAAGACCAATATGCAAATCTGTATACATTTCTTGACTTGGGAAACAACACGTGCGACTCTCCATTTCCACACTGCATGTCCAACCGTGTGCGTTGTGTGCAATGTGACGCATTTCGGACTTTTGTGCACGCATGTTGGACATTATAACCACAACTTTGATTGGTCAAAACGTTTTATGGCAGGGCTTTAATTGGTCTATTTTCGGCCGTTACAATTTCAAAGTGCCCATCCCGAGCAAGGAAAAATGTTCTGTTTGACAGCAATTTCAATTTGTCCTTGGTTTATCGTATCAGGGCCCCGTATGGTGCTTATGTGTATACGGCGACTACCTCTTCAGTGGTTCCTCTGATAAGACCATCAAAGTCTGGGACACCTGCACTAGTTACACCTGTCAGAAGACGTTAGAGGGACACAATGGCATCGTGCTGGCACTATGCACTCACGGGTAGGCTGAACATTGCTTGCATGCAATTTTGCCCTTTAATTGCCCACAAAGATGGCTGCTATGCAAGTGGTCTACATGTATTTAATGCCAAAATTTAGTGCAATTGATAAGTAGCTTTAAGAAAATTGGCCCAGATCACAGTCTGTCAATAATGCATGCATATAAATAATAGCAATTGTTTTTTCTCCCGTTCTCTGTTCAGAAACCGATTATTCAGCGGGTCTGCAGACTGCACAGTTATTGTGAGTGAAAGAAATTAGGATTCCTCTTTTATCCATGCTTCATTACTGTGTTCAAAATCCCTTTGAATATGTTTGGATTTGCATTTCTAAACACATACATACTGAAATTTGTATCCTTGTGGAGATATTTTTTTGTTCTCGTGTACTAAAGTTTTCGAGGTTGAAAGTACAGTTTCAAAATGCTCTTATTTTAACCAGATTTAATTTCCTTGGCTGAAATTCGGACTTAATATCCCTTTTCTAAAACTCTACCATTTGGGATAGATCAACATACCTTGGAAATTCCTAGTTTTGAGTAATTTTGTGAAAACCTTGTGGAGACGTATTCATCTATAGAAATTGCCCTGTGGAGACGTATACAATCTTTTGTTCCCTATTGTGTGCATGTCTCCAGAGGGCACGGTGTATCAGATCATTGTAACATGTTTAAACACTTTTTTGTTCAGTTCATGGATGAATACGGTCATGTGATGACTGTACACTCACGGGGCCCCCTTCAATGGAGAAACCATTGTGCACACTATTGTACAAAGCAACTGTTCAGTGAAGAATTATCTGAACAATAGCTAGCACAATGCTTTCGCCATTACAGGGGGCCTTTGTGATAGAATTAATAGCATGCCGGGATTGGTCAATAGTCTTCTATAGGGAAAACTCCAGAGGTGGCTTGGGTGTGACTTGAACCCATACCTCTTACTTTCTAGTGCACTTGTCTTACCACAGTGCTTGCCATGGTCGATTGACGGATTCAAATCCTGTAATTTAGTGGGCACTTTTAATCAGTTAAACAAGAATTGTTATATTCCTATATTGTTTGGAATTAGCCTTTTTGAGATACGGCGGACGCAATAGGAGGCTGCTATTTGGGTAAAAACAAAGCAATTTACCCAAAATGAATAGCGCCGTCCTATTGTGTCCACCGTATCTCATAAAGATAATGGCTATCATATTAATGAATTTTTTTATTTGTTTCAAATCTATTTTAGTTCATAACGATTTTTTGTTTGATGTTGTAGGTGTGGAATATTGACACATTAGAACAGGAGAAGATGATACAGGCTCACGAGAACCCAGTCTGCACGTTGGTTGCGGCTAACAACATGCTGTTCAGTGGCTCACTGAAAGTCATTAAGGTAAGCTGTAGATACCAGGCTGTATCCAACGCCTGCTCAGTGTAGCAAGATCCATCGGGCCAAACTGCCTCAGAGTCTGTGGTCACCAACTGCAGCAGGGTACAACTGGGGCATTGTTCAATAGGACTAGCTGTCATTTTTTCTGAATTGGTCGTTTATGCACTGGTGTTGACGGCTCAATGCAGCAAGGTGCCACAGACTGTTACACCTGATGCACTGTGTTTCATCTGGCAGGGTTAGGGTTAATTTGATAAAATTGGATTCCTTCTCTACTGCATGAGCCTCATAGTCCAAGTTACTTAGGAATTTAGAAAAAGGCACGTCATCAACACTGTAGCTTGGACCAAGAGATTAGGCCCAGACCTCAATGGCCTAGAAAGCTGCCCATTTCACTAAAAACCTCTTCTTCTCCGTGGACCCTCGAGAGAAGTCACAAGACTTTGTTGCGAGGAAGCACCCACAACACACCCATTTCTTGTCAGAACTCCACCTCTCCTGAAAAAGAACAATATTTTCCAGTCACTGACCCCCTTAATTCTCTCATGGATTATTTTTGCGGGGCCTGTCATTTTTTTCGGGAAATTGACAAATCTATTTTGGGAACCCCAAAAAATAAAATAATTGCCGCTGACTTTGAGTATTCGGATGACTGGCAGGTGAAGTGATGGCCTTGCAGTTTGTATGCATCACTTGATGAGGCCAGGCATGGCAGGTAGTCGGCCTGAGCTGACAAGTCTAGGGATTGTTCCTGGCATGGTTTTCAAAAGACTGATTATGAGCTTAGGATGTCTGACATAAATATCACTAACTTCGAGACAACATTTGAAATGATGTCATGAACAGTGGATGAAACGATACATGTAGCTCCAGCTGTGAGCAGAAATCAGATGATGGAGTTGTGCTGTGTTAGACATGTTTTTCATTCAGTATATCAGATGCTAGAAAGATGGGTATCTTGTCCTAGTATCAGATGCTCAAATCCAAGTTTCGGTGCAACTTTTTGATCTACCCCTGAGCATGAACTGATAGGCACCATGGGTCTGATGCAAGCGCACGTTTAATACTTAAAGGTACATGTTTGATGTGAGGGTCTGTACGTTCAGACTCAATCATACAAAAGGAAAACATGTTTGGAATTTAGTATGGACTCCACACAGAAGTACCTCCTCAATGAGAGAGGCAAGAGGCTTGAGCGCATTGCCAGCTGACTTTCATGAAAAGACGCTGTGGATTTGTGCACTTCCGGATAAAAAGAGGCCACTGGTAATTTTGGCCTACATGTATGTGTGCAAGCAAGTCCATGCGCTGTTGTGTCATGCACATGGATACTTCACGATTGGTCACAATGCGCCATGTACATGTACTATTCACCCACGGAGTCAATAAGGATCCAAGAGTCTACTGTGATTGTCATGGCAATAATATCATGGAAACAAATGTGCAGAGCAAAGCAAACATTTCTAAGTTAATCTAAGACATGGCTCATCAAGGAAACCAGTTTTAGTTACAATCTTGACAGCTGAAGAAAGACGAGTCAATTGCCGAATCTCAAGGACGAAGTCACAATCAGGAAGCTTGTCCACATGATGATATTAGTCCTTGACCTTGCAATTACTGATCAACGACCGGAAGATTATTAGCTTTGAAATCGGCACAAATGCTAGAAAACAAAATGAATATTTTGGGATGCATCATTTTGAGCGTGAGTCAGCTTTGCCAAGTGTAATTACGCAAGGGAAGATAGAAGCAGCGTTTGACAATGCAATGAAAGTCGTATAATTACGCAAATTACCCTGCTTTGGTTTGTCCATCCTTGAGTTTAATTAGACAGGCCAGGCCTGTTGATTGATCTACGTGTTCAATAAGACTCACTAGATCCTGTCAGCTGGGTGCTTGTCAACGGTCATTATCTCTGCTCAGAACTCATTTAAAAACTTTTTAAGATTCTAATTGAGCGTGGAAGCTTGAAATGATACGGAGTGGCATGAGTGTGACCTGAACATGACCTTTGACCTATTGACCCTTTGGGCCAGATAAATGGACCGCTCAATAAGCCCCGCACTACGATGTTTCGACCAATCACAGCTGTGATTAATGTCCAACATGCGTACGCAAATATTCGGCATATGTACACTTGCGTCCAGAACATGCAGTGTGGAATTGGGGAGGTGTGTAGTGGTGGGCAGTGCAAAATAGATCCATCTATTGTAGGAATGATTCTAACGCAGCTACAATGTAAAGAATTCTTGATCATGACCCTCATTCTCTGCCCAAAGGGCAGAGAATGAAGGGCAAAGACTGAAAAAAAGAGTATTGAACGTTATTTGAAAAACATTTAAAGGGAATATACATTATTTGCAAACATCGAAAAACAAAACTATCAAATGTTTACGAAATACCTTACTAGGATGTTGGTAAATGACAGTCTAAAGCATCCTGTAAAATTATGGCACCTAATGTGAAGTCATTTTAATAAAAGTGGTATTTTTGTATAAATTTCCAACGGTGGTCGGCCAACCACCGTTGGAAAAACCTAACTATTTTTCAACTACTGCTCCAAATTTACCATTTTTCAGTCCAAATTTTGTTTGCTATTTGTTACATGTTGGTGAACGGGTGCAGGCCAGTTAGACTGGTTCCCTTACCTTACAATTTTCCGGCATTTATAAATTTATCTATTTCATTTTTAGAACATTTTTTTGTTTTTCTTGGTTTTCCCAGCATTTTCGAATACAAAACTTCAAACATGTCAGTGTAAAAATATTTGATCTATTACACTAACCCCATCAAATAGTCCATTTCTGAAAATTACAGCAAAAAGCCAATGATGTATATTCCCTTTAAAGGCGCGGAAACATGCAAACACATTTTTTGATGTCGGGGTGGGGATACACCGACAAAACTTTTGCAGCTCTCTTTGGGATTTGGAAATTGCAGGTCTCTGTCCCTACTGACCACTTATCTCTGTTGTCATGGTGTCCTGTTGTGCACAAAAGAAATTAACATGATTGATGACAGAATTAATGACTTGTCCATTGGGCTTTGCTTTGTTTTTCAGAGTCAAGCTAACATTTGTAAAAAGTATATCTACTTACTTTCAAAAATGAGAATTGGGTCAGTATTGGTTAAGGGAGGAGAACGAGAGTATTCTTAGTTTCACTTTTTCTTTATTCTATCGAACGTTAGATTTTTTTCCCTTAAGGGAAGGGGGGAGGGGGTGCCTTAAGTTTTGCTTTGTCACTTTTTCCCTCCCATCTTGCTCTTTGGATGACCCCCCAAACAGGGAAATGATTTCAGGCAGATTTCCCAAGTTTGAACTTGGGAATATCAGAGCCCCGAAAAATCTGGAAAAAATGAAATGTTTTCCTGATTGAATTCTTACCTGATTGACTTTGTTTTTGTGGACTTCCTTCGAAACTGGATGTTCGAGCCACCTGGGGGGAATATGTGGTAACAGGGGAAAAGAAACGATGGTTTTTTTTTTTTTGAACGTGGTTGGCCCCCTGCGTTGGCATCCTGCATGACTTGAGAGTTTTTGTTGGGTTGAAGGGAGGGGGGCTTTTCAAGCGGGATGCAAAGGAGGAGAGTTGTCATGAGATTGCTGCCCGTGATGGATTGCTTCCACCTGTTGCTTGTTTCCCTCCGTCAAACCAATCATTCAAAGATCCTGACCGAAGAATAGCGGCCATAAATCCTCAAACCTTCGCACAGAATGTCACCTTGTGCTGTCCAGAAGGCATGGATGTGAAAACCCTCAACGTCTGTTTGTCTTTTTCTGTGAAGGGAGGAGCATCTCACAGGATAGACTTGTTTAAGAACAAAGCGCGGAAATCATCATGACATTCTGCTTCAGAGAGAAGAAAAAAAAGAGAAAGAAGAACCAATGTTTTAGTCTTTAGGGCAAGGAGTATGCAATCCCCTGATATGTAGCAGGCCTAAGGCGTAGAATGTGACCGTTTCAACTGTTGCAAACATGTACCTAATGTCAATTTTAGAAGCATGATGTGTTCTGCTCAAAACAGTCTCTTCTGGGTAGCTGACCGCAAGATATGTTTCGAAAAATATCGTGAAAATAAAGTTTCTCTCCTTAAAACCCTAACCCTCTAGGCCCCTTTGGCTAGGAACCATCCGCAATCCTGCAAAATCAACCAATTGCTACCATGTAAAAATAAATCCTCCAAAATCTGATTTTTCTCAGTGGAGGGGTGACCACTGTCTCAATCCTTCAAAATCCTCCAACAATCACTGTAATGGGTTGAGGTAATGCCGTTGACATTCAGAAGCTGTGCGGATGATATTGAGCATAATGCAAGGCTCAATTGTGCATGACTGAACACAAACAATGCTCGGTACAGCCTACAAACTCGACATGATACATCCTCAGAAATAAACCGACATATTTTTGCCATTCAGCCTCAATCCTCCCAAATCCTCCAAAACCGACTGGAGGATTTTGGAGGATTGAGGAGGGTTAGGGTTCTGCAGTGATGTTTATTTTTAAAAAAGGACCTCCCTTGCAAAACTGTGCCATGAAAGGTGGAACAAATTTGTTTTCTATTATCATTGGGGTCATGCATTTCGCGAACTTACGCACATCTACAAATCATTCAAAGAAAAAAAAAGGGGGGGGGGGACTGCACATTCAAGGCAACATTTAAGTCTGAAAACTAGACAAACAAAATTAATTTCAATTATCAGTCTGTTCGACAATAAATTGAACTTTAGGCCAGCATTTTAATGTCACCAATGTGTTTCACGATGATTGGGTAGAAGGATTAACAGAGAAAATGAATTGCCATCATTTGGCATAGCCGACTGCAACAGGGTACAAATGTTGGCCCACCATCTAGGATGTTATTGATCACAACTATGATTAATTCTTCCTGGTTCGGATTTCCCGCGACTTCGTGTTCCAAGTTTCTGGATTCTTGTGATAGAGTGGAATTTTGGTCCAAGGAATAGTGAAGGATAAAGGCCTTGTCGGGATTTGTGTCTAATGATAACGGGCAGGTTGTCAAATAAAATCCAGTGCTTGAAGCGTTCAAGTCATGACTGGCCATGGGTTATTATGACAAGTGAGGGCAGTGTTGTCGGACTTGTCACATTGTTTGACTCGAAACGGAAGCTGTCAGAGGTTGTGGCCCTTTGTTGCCCCTGGTCTTGATGTTTCCTTGAAATGTTTCTACTCTTGTATTACAGTTTTTTCAAGTGCTGTTTTGTGGTGTTGTTTTCAATTGAACAAATTTTGAAGTTGAGTGGGGTTTGAAGAAGAAAACATTTTAGACAGTTTAGACAGCTTGTAAAGATCGACTGTTTGAGAATTTCAGATTTGCATAACATTTGCAGACTGCGGAGAAAGGAACTTTATTTAGATAAAGATATTAACTCTCCAAGCCAGAGGCTTATGTGTTTGGGATTTAGACATGTAAGTGGTCCAGTTTTCCTTTGGTTAATACCACTCCATGGCTTTTCTTCCCTGTTTTCTTTAAATATTTTTTTGGTTACCTCCTGATTCAAAGCAGAGCTGAGAGAGAGAAAAGTGCTCATGCTTTATGCGAAAAGGAGATTTAGACAAATTTCAAACTAGCACCAACACCAGAAAACTTTCGTTGCAAAAAGTACAACAAACGCTGAAAGAAACTAATTACTGAAACAGCATGGAACTTCACCAACACCAAAACAGCAGGATTTGCAGAACAGTGCACTCGTTTCTATATTTACTTTTTTTTTATAAATAGAGCAGGAAAATGTGCAAAACAAGATTGGAATGTGTGGACAAATCGGGATTTTGATTTGTCAGAAACAAAACCAAAAAAACCTTTTGCACGAGAAGGTTTGAGAATGCACGGTTCTTCGCCAGAGATAACTTTTCTTCTGGAGATGTCCTATCTATCAGGAGCAGGAAAGGCAGAAGTGCGGGTTTTAATTAACGCTGAAACAATTGTGGCTGAAGCAGGAGGTGTGAAGCCAATCCTGAGCATGATTCATACGGAACATAAATGTGTGAAGCACCTTCCAGAACAGAGAATATGACACCGATTGCTGCTGAGTGACAAGTGAACGGCCTGTCAGACCATTCACAGTCACCCTAAATCTAGAGAAAAGTTGAGAAAAAAAGTTTCCTTAAAGTAAAGAGTTGGCACATAACATCCTCTGTTATTGATTTATTCTGCTAGAATAATGAGAAGGAAATTTTTTTGTTGGTATTTCAAGAAAGATGAGCTGAGAGACTCAGTTCTTTGAAACGCACTTAATCTGGCCCAAGATACAGTACCCAAACAGTTGTTGGGGGAGGGGGGAAGCATCTTACTATTGGAGATATTGTTTCAAACCCACGATATTGGACACCATCTGTCAGTAAGTGGCGATCTTCGTTGCGGCAAGTAACTAAAGCTGTGAAGCGCCTCTTTTTTTTTTAACTCTTCCTTGGGGGGGGGGAGGGAGGGTGGCATGGCACCATGTCTCCCTCCCCCATATATACACCACTGTCCACAGAGTTCAGACTCCAACAGTTGAAGGTTTTTCCATCACTTGTCAGTATACCTGTACATTGTACAGTGTAACTGGATGAGCCATTCAAAAGTCAACAAGGCACATCACAATTCAGGTTAATTTGATTGGTTTGTGACTTGCCTTGAGACTTTTTTTGGTATTGAATTGTTTACTTGGGATGACTTTTGATGACTTGTTATGACTTGCGATGACTTGTTATGACTTGTTATGACTTGTGAGGACTTGTGATGACTTCTGATTGCTTGTGATGACTTTTGATGACTTGTGATGACTTGTGATTGACTTGTGATGACTTGTGGTGACTTGTGATGACTTGTAATGACTTGTGATGACTTGTGATGACTTGTGATGACTTGCGAGGACTTGTGATGACTTGTGATGACTTGTGATGACTTGTGATGACTTGTGATGACTTGTGAATGGCTCTAGAATAACTTTGCTACTTTGGTCATTGCAATCCATCCCAAACTGTTATACAAAAAAACAACATTTGACATTTAACTTTTTTCACTATTTGACCTTTCTCTCTGTTTTTCTTCTCTTGTTGTTAGGTGTGGGACGTGCACTCACATGAGCTGAAACGGGAACTGACCGGACTAAACCACTGGGTTAGGGCACTGGTCGCCAACGGCAACTACCTCTACAGTGGTTCCTACCAGACGATTAAGGCAAGTATACAAGCATGACTAGCGGCCATTTTAGATCGGTATAACAGAGTTGCACCAAAAACAAATAGTATAAGGAGGCCGCAGGTAAAAAAAAATGCGAATTTTACATCGGATAGATGAACTTATATTAAGTTTCCATTAACTGCAATATAGAGTAACGTCTGAAATCAAAATGCTGGAGTCATTCAACGTGATCGTTCTTAACTGTTTCAAACATTGGCCTTATCATTTATGAATTTCAGTGTCTGGACTATTTTGATTGGTGTGACTCTTTATGTTTATGAATAAGGTGTTGTTTGAGTAAATTCGTTCTTATAGGCCCTGTGCACACAAATCTCTTCTTGGAAGAAGTGTGCGGTTGGTTGAGTGTGTCAGAACCACACTTCTTCCAAGATGAGATTTCTTTTCACATGGTGTTACCCGCAATCTTTCTACTTTCTCATCTGCCATGCAAAGCTTCAAGTCACATATACATTCATGATATTATTGGTTGTACATACTTCGCGCTGAAAGTGCGCAAACCAGTATGCTCACACGGTGTTTCCCCCCACTAGAGCCCTAAAAAGTGGCCAAAAGTAGTCTGGGGTATGGCATAGAGCCATACCGCAGATGGAATTCGGAGGCAAGTGATGGTGAAGGTATTTTCTTGAGGAGGGAACACCAAACACAGTGGTTGGATTTGCACCCTGAACCACCTGATCTGCTCCGGATTTTGCCCTAAGCCCGCCTACCTATGTCTTGTGTAGGACCACATCCCAATTTGTTGGCGACGGTCGGCTGCAACACACTTTTGTATCGGTAGTTGATGCAGCCGCTTGCATAAGCCCATGTGCAATTGCAAACTGCTGCCCGAGTCATTCAGACATGACCTACATTCAGACATGACCTACATATCTCACAGTGCTTGTGACGGAGTTTGACCGAGCTGCTGTGGCTACCTGTCTAATGGTAGTGATCTGATTGGTCAATATAAACTGTTTAATTGATTGATAGGCAGGGAGGGTTCATATTAATAAGCACGCAGCCACACTTGTAATAATGTGATAAAGAGTGCCCAACGTGCAGTATATGGCAGTTTATATCAAGGCTGTTTGCCACTGAGAGAAGTATCATCGCCCTCTATGACTAATCCTTCCCTGGAACAATATCTTCCCCCCCCCCCCCCCCCCCCCGATATATTTCTCCTCCTGGCCAATGCTTTGTTAAGTCAGATTTCAGAGGATACTGCCCCGCACTAATTGTTTTTGCATTCAGCGTCGAGTCTGACACGTCGATTGTTTTCAGAACATAATGGGGCTTCCGCGCAGAGCGCCAAGCTGTCGCTCTCAGGTGTACACATTAAGCCAACTTAGGATGTGACTGGTTCCTGTGTCAACACCTGCGTGTGATATGGCATATCCCGCCGGTACTCACCCCAGGGGAGGGGGGTTTCTCAGCGTTTGCTGTCTCATTGTTTGCTTAATGAGCTGTGACGCCGTAACACTTCAAATCTATTCCTGCCAGTAAAGAAATGTGGATGGTTGAGAGTTTTTGATGACCCCATAAGGCCGACCTATTTTTTTCTGACTGACTGACTAACTGATTGAATGACTCCCCGAGTATACATTTTAATGTCATAAACTGAAAGCTTTGGGTGCATCTCAACTGGTCCAGCCTGGTCCTGGACTTGTGATCATGGTGATTGGACCTGTGATGGACTTGGGATGGACTTGGAATGGACTTGGGATTGACTTGGGATGGACTTGTGATTGGACTTGTGATTGGACTTGTGATTGGACTTGGGATGGACTTGGGATTGACTTGGGATTGACTTGGGATGGACTTGGGATGGACTTAGAATGGACTTGTGATTGGACTTGTGATGGACTTGTGATTGGACTTGTGATTGGACTTGTGATGGAGTTCGGATGGACTTGGGATTGGACTTGTGATGGACTTGGAATTGACTTGGGATTGACTTGGGATTGACTTGGGATGGACTTGGAATTGACTTGGGATTGACTTGGGATTGACTTGGGATGGGCTTAGAATGGACTTGTGATTGGACTTGTGATTGGACTTGTGATGGACTTGGAATTGACTTGGGATTGACTTGGGATTGACTTGGGATTGACTTAGGATGGACTAGTGATTGGACTTGTGATTGAACTAGGGATGGACTTGTGATGGACTTGAGATGGACTTGGGATTGACTTGGGATTGACTTGGGATAGACTTGGGATTGACTTCGGATGGACTTGTGATTGGACTTGTGATTGGACTTGTGATGGACTTGTGATGGACTTGGGATTCACTTGGGATTGACATCAGATTGACTTGGGATTGACTTGGGATTGACTCGGGATTGACTCGGGATGGACTTGGGATGGACTTGTGATGGACTTGTGATTGGACTTGTGATGGACTTGACTACAACACTGATCAAAACATATCATGGTAGTTTCAAAGTTGTCATTCCATTGATTATTGACAATCACTTTGCTGTTTTGTTTCTTGCAGGTGTGGGACATGAGCACGTTGGAGATCGTACACAGCTTACAGACATCTGGAGGCAGTGTGTACTCCATCGCCGTCACCAACCACCACATCATCGCTGGAACTTACGAGAACTGCATACACGTAAGAATGATATAGTCAAAAAATTATCATGAAAAGTCTCTGTCAAGGAATCCTTGCTTTAACGTGTGGGGGCAATCCTTAATATTGTGGAGTTTACTGGGCAAGTTGGGGTATTCTCTTGGCTCCGAAACGCTAAGGAAAAATTGAACATGGGGAAATGCCAAACAATCACAGAAAAAAAAACTACTTGTTCACAGTATTCCTGATGATGGGATATTTTTAAAGATTCTGTACCTTCCATACATTAATGCTCATCACAGTGCTTAAATCATGGCTTACAGACAGGAACCAAGTGGAAATTGAACTTCGGGTGATATTTATGAGACAGCCATTTACTGTTATTTAATGCCTGTAGCCAAAGCGCAGCAACTGCAGCCTGAGAGCGATAAACATTTTAGAACCCGTTCGTACAGCTTTGCATGCTAACTTACCTTGAATCAATGTAGTATAGTCCATGGGATAGACTTTTGCACAACAAAGGTCTGTGCAAAGGTCTATGATAAGCAAACAGATTCAGCGATTAATTAAGCAAAACAAGTCTGATCTAAGTGGACCCTGACATTTGTGCCTGACATTTGAGGTACACGTATAAAGGAAAAGGAAACATGAACATGTACGTACAGTGGCGATATGTTATTTAGAATGTGAAAAAACCCTGAAATCAGGCAATCGCAGGAGGACTCATCCCTGAAGATGGCAGTGATGATTCCCTGGTGCTTTGAAGTGTCTGAGCTGTCACTCCTTCTGTGTTCCTTTCTCTATAATTATAGTAACAGTGCTCAAACATAATTTTACATGTCCACAACGCGTCATATGCTTGCAAGCATCGTGTGCGGTTTAGTGATAAGGTACATGAATTCCGACACCGGCATGACTCAGTTTAGACAAACCCACACCCAAACTGACCTGCATATATTGTTGTTGAAAAGCCGGTCGCTAAACTTGCTTCAAAATTGTGCATTCATGTCTTCGGTGTGACAAACAGTACATGAGGTGTATAGGTCCATACGTAGGTACATGTACATGTAGGTAGGTAATAAAAATGGCGCCAGCCAGCTACATATGGAGTAACTTAAGGAGCACGTTAGGAGCACCGAGCAGAGGGGATATCATTGTTCCATGGCCCATGCATCATGTTAGAGTTGGTGCCACCTCCAGTTAATTCTGGCGTACCCCATAAACCTGTCAGCTTTAATGAAATTACAACCCCGTCGTGGCCAAGCTGGAATCTATTGTATGGACACCGTGATTTGGTGCTTACATGCCCCGTCCCGCCCCTACATGATGGTTTAACAATCAGTTCCTCGTGGCACTTCCACATGCTGATTTTCTTTCTAAGAAAAGCTGGATTTTTCGAGCGGGCTGTTTGCGTCACGTTGGCATCGTCTTGGGTCCGTATTTCCTTCTGTGATCTCGCAGTTTCAAGCCACCGTAATACATGTACCTTTCCATTTTCAACTGTTTTCAGCTTTGGTTCATTATGTTGCAACCGTAAGTGGCAATCATGCATTGCTTTGTAATGGCTGACTTGCATGTGGCCAAAAAAACCACCCACAGTGCCAACAATACGTGCGTCTCCCAAATGCCACACTGCATGGTCCAAGTGCATTCAATAAGACATTTGACAGACGTTTGGTCACGTCGTCATAGCTGTGATTGGTCAAAACATGGGGTGCAGAGTACCGGTACTGGATAGCTCTATAGACACAGGCAGTCTGATTGGGAACCAACAACTTGTATGCAAGTCCACAGACATACACATACATGTACAAACTTGTATGTACACCCATACGTGTTCTACATAACCCCCGAGGACCGACACACAAAGGGGGAACAACAGATCCTTTCAGTCCTCTATCGTAGGGTCATGTGCTCAGTCTGTGGAACATGATTGTCTGTATGTTCAAATTGTCACATCGTTTCATCTGACACAATTGAGTACACAAGAACTGTTCATTGACTTACATTTATTGTATAGTGTTTCTCTTATTTCTACTTGACACAAAGAAAGAATGAAGAATTTCTTGGGAAGTTACTATGTAAGAGATTGAAAGGCCATTATGTGTCAGGGCGACATCACCGATTTAATACAAATCATGAGAGGCATCTGTGAACTACAAACTTTTCCAAACTAGTTGGGTTTAGATGACCGAGGATAACCCTGACTACGTGAAATAACAAGCCATCTTACGGTACCTCTCTGAGGATTACAGTTTGCAAATGTGACGAGACATTTACTGAAACCCTGCCCGATTATTGCAGTGAGCAGTCGTTTTCATTGCATCCCTGTCTAGACATGTACTGCCTGTTAAACCTATCGAGTAAAAACTTTCAGTCATAGCACGCTTTAAAGTTGCACGCCCATGAAATTTAAATCATCAGCACATCGGAAAAGACTTTAAAAAATGGATAGTTATCGATTGCTTATACATGTAAATCACTTTCCTCGCCCAAATGCCAAACTGTTTCTCATGTGAGTGACAAACTAGATTGGGTATTGACGTTTATTGATCGATTGATTTTGGAATTGGTTCCGACTGCATGGAGCCAGTTTGAATTAAGTCGGTGATTAGCCAGGTAACATGGTTAAAGGCTTCCAATGCCGAAACATTTAATCACCTACACATGGAAACATACAAACGCTGTAACAGACGAGGGGGGGGGGGGGGTGCTAAAGCATTTGGGTTGCATTTGGTGGCTGAAAATGCCTGGCGGCTGCAGACGTGAGTCTGGTCACCATGAAAAGCTACAGGTGATTTAAAAACTGACTGGAATGCATGTTGTGAGTTGCTACGTCTCTTTTTAGTACCATTAATCAGTGAAGATTGTGAAGAACTTTTTTTAGCAATTTTAAAATCTGTCCAATCTTTCTGGTAAATGTCTTCATAAAATGCATATTAAACCGAAGTAAAAGAATTCTGTTGTCTGTGATGTTGTATTGAGTGCAAAACAAACAAATGTGAACTTCAATATGTTCAATGCAACACCTTTGAATTTGGGCGATTCACAATGCAGTGCGCCACCAAGAATTTGCCATGGAGAGTCAATTTTTCAAGTTAATGGTCAACAAAACATGGCCCATTTGAAGGAGTGTCAGTAGACAACTTGAGCTAATAGATTGGGGCATAGCGTTCTGCCGCCTTACAAAAACACCATATTGATAAAAAATAAAAGGCCAAACATATACTCGAATCATACGCTTATGACACTACTGACGGACAAACTAGCAATTTCCAATGTCCCAGGCTGTGAATTTCTCGACCATCTCCCACATTGCACTGGGAAAAATGCTCTCAAAACTACTGATCACACAGTTGCCTAAATACCGGTACATTAATTCATTTTGGCAAGAAACAGTACCAGAAATTTCAGCAGCACACAACAAAATTCCATTCCGGAAAATATCTTACCCGGAAAATACTTGTATCTTACTACGAACATTTTCCCTTCAATATATTGAAAGTGGTATTTTGCATAGAAATCCAAAATAAATATCTTAAAAGCTAAGAAGAAGTTTAAATAAGCCACACTCAGGGGGGAAAATTATGACAGAACTTGAAGCGTCACATGATTTTTTTAGAAAGCTGCATGAGAGATTAAAGGGGTTAATTTTGGTTTTTCAGATTTCCTGTCACTACATACATGTACGTGTACTTAACTTTGTTGAATCTGATCCAAGTGGACTTGGGGTCTGAGCTCTTCAAGGCTACAGAAGCACACAAAGTACATGTGTTTGTGTGTAAAACATTGCAGAGTTTTCGGAAAAATAGCTTGTGTTGTGAATTTGTAATTGCCTTTGGGCTTAAATCTTGCAAAACAGCTTATGACTTTTGCGTTTAACATGTTTAAGTGATAAGGGGTCACATTCTTCAAAGCAATATTTCCACTTGTCGTTTTGTTTTAAAGCAGAAAACAGGATTTTGGGAGACTGAAAGTCACATGTAAAAGCACCTTGCCTCTATTCACCTTGCCATTATGAATAGAAACATCACCTCACAGTTTTTCTTTTCTACTGTAAATGTTGTGACCCTTTAATGTGTCTTACTTTGTCTCACGTTTGCGAGGGAGAGAGAGAGAGAGCGAGAGAGGGGAAGTTTGATACGAGTGATATCGCCTGCAACCGTCCTTGTCACCTGGTGCGCTAGACTCACTGGTTTCCTGCTAGCAGTAATGTGATTAGGAAGTCAGTAACGGGACCAGCTTGGCTCGTAATGTGATCTGTGACTGACCCTCCGTTGGGGCGGGGAATAGGGAGGGAGGGGGGTGGGCTGATGAGGGGGATACATACAGGTTCCTCTATTAAATCTGGGCCCAATTTGATCAAGCTACGAAGCAGAAGATATGCCCTACTGAAAAGTATGTGTTATGTCCACATTGGCCAAGAATCAGTCCCACGCAACATTCACTGTATTGCTTTGTTATAGGCCATCAGCCTGGGGTTTGGTCAGTATCAAATCAGGGCATGAATGATTACAGTGCGCATGCGCAAGGTATACCGCCCCTAGAGTGGTAACAAGCATTTTGATGGACATTTTGAAAAAAGGGTGATAACACCCAAAAAGCTGCCACCGTTGCAATGCTATCACATATTTTCCAACTCTGGAGGTGTTTACCTTGCCAAAAATTGCTATGACGATTATTCCCCTCATTTGATACCGGTGGCCAAAATTTTGGACCGAGGCTGATGGCCTATTAGCAAATTTCTGGTTGGCACAGTCTGTAGTTCACTGCTATTTGGGATTACAAATCTCCTTGCAAAATTATAGACTGCAACTTTGGTTGGGGGAGGGTGTTCTTACCATTTATTGTTTTGGACCTACCGGTACTTCATGTTATTTTCAGGTGTTGGAAATGTGTGGACTGCAAGGTTGAAGATTTGGGGCACATGGAAAAATATGGAAATGTGGGAGATTTATGAAAAAATGTTGCTTAATTACAAACATATCTAAGGATGTTTGCTGAATGCAACCGCTATTTTCGTTCTTTCTTTTTGAGGGGGAAGGGGTGGTTGAGGGTAGGACCAGACATTAGGTCTCTGAAGGATTTCCCGCGAATTCCTGTGGAACGGAACCTGCCTCTCCATCAGATGTAGTTACCATCAGTCTGTAATTGTATATGTAAACGGTCCTCTGTCATCAAAATCTGTCTCCATTTCTGCACCTTTTCGTCTGGTGACATATAAATGGGACCCTTGCATTAACTTTGCTACCATACCGGTTCTCAAAACAAGGAAGCAGTCATGTGACTCATATCATAGAGAGTTCCGTTTCCTCTCCCCCCGGTTGTTGTGTTATCCTGTCGCTACCTTACCCAAGCCTCATTTTTTGTAATGCTGCATTGATTTCCTCTCCTGAGATGTTCGTGTACGTAATGTAGTCGGGCTGTTCCCCTGCTTATGCTGCAGACGTGTTGACCAGACTCCATTTAACCACGGCGTTCGTTTACGTATACTCACAAGAGCCTATTATAAACATCACAGTGTTGCAGTACTGTGGTTCGCTTTAAATTTCACAGTCATCGGAATCATTCAGATTTGATATTGTGCTCATCTTTATTTTTGAGACTGTGATACAGTAAGATTAAAATTACTAATTAAATCTACTTTTTACAAAATGTAAGTTAACGCCCTGTTTGAATCTCTTGCCCAGAGCTTGGTCTTTGACAATTACAGCTCTTTGGGAACGAGTGGCGATAGATGTAGCAGTACTTCTGGAAACCTGTTTCAGACACGGCCATAATACTGTTTTCGAAGAACACTAAACTCCCCTTTTTTAATTTTGTGCCTGTGCATTCCTCTTATGCACTATCATGCAAAGACACACAAGATTTTTGCATTTCAGTTCAATAAAAATGGACTTCAACACCATTTACCGGCACCAATCAGCGCCTTCCTTTGATGTGTCCTGTTGTAGCCGTCATTAATGTAAACTTCACAACTTGTGACAAGCACATAAATCTGACAGATGTTTTAAAAATTATGTCGCAGTGATACCAACTCTTTCGCTTTAGTCTGAAGCCAATGAGTCAATCTTGCCTTTTTTCTTCCTTCTATTGTTCCATTTTCATCAGGTCTGGGACAAAGCCTCCTACGAGCAAGTTGAGACTCTGACAGGCCACGTGGGCACTGTCTATGCCTTAGCAGTCATCAGCGCTCCAGGAACTACCAGAGTCTTCAGTGCATCCTATGACAGATCACTCAGGGTGAGTTTCATAGCTCCAAGGATAAACATAACGAGGTGCTAAGGGTACAGTGCTTTATACAGCTGTATCAAAATGCATCACTATTATTACCCCTGTTCATCAGGCCATGAGGCCAGTTATCTGTAGCAGCTTAGATCAGTGCAATCTGTTCTCACAGGTATCCATTTATACTCCTGGGTGGGGAGAGGCAATTGTTGTAAAGTATCATGTCTAAGGACACAAGAACACTGTTTTTGCTTGAGGGTTAGAACCCAACTGCCAATCGCATATTAGTCTGACACTGTAACCATTGCACCACAGCGCTCCAATGACACAAGTAAACAGCCGCTCGACTGTTTTAAGGCCTTGCCCAAGTCCCAGGCAGTAACCTCAAGTAATTGATGTTAAAGTTACGGTACCTTAAAAATTAACTTCCAGTTAGTCCTAAAGTGGGGAGAAATAGGCTCTTGTCTGGACGTGACTTGACCCAGATTCAGCATACTTAGAAGGCCTAGTAAAGATGTGGCTGGGATATATGTAGTCCTGCATCCATTGAAATCCTTCAAAACCAATCATTTGAATTTTGCAGATTTGGAATGGCTTGTGTTCTAGTTTTCAATCATTGGCTACACAAGTCCTTTTTTTTCTTCCACCTAAATGATCTGCTCAATCTGTCCGTGTACCTTCTTGTAGCGGTAATTGTTATCATGACCTTTCTTCTGAATTCTTTCTTCAAAGATAGGACGTCTTGAATTTGTTATCAGTAGCTCATCGAGTCATTGCAGTGGAGCACAGCACCCGCAACTACTCACATGTGTATTTTCTCACCCGGGATGTTTGTCAATTTATCAATTTTCCCTTGTCAACACTAGGTTTACCAGGGTATTTAGCGTTACCACGCCCCATTTATATACAGTAACAAGGCATCTGGTGTACCGCTGATGTGTGCTTGGCAAGCAAGTTGACAGGTGTCCCCTTATTGTTAGTCTTGCCCCCCCCCCCCCCCCAGTCTGGGGCTCCCTATCACAGCTATCCACGTGTTCTTTTTACTCCCCTGGCGCGCAACAAGAGGAACTGTTTCGGTCGCGCTGCGTTGCCAGTTTAACGCCAGGGGTGTCCTTAATGCCACACCTAGCGCTCACGCTGACCGCGCTCTTTTTTGTTACCTGAGGCCCCGTTTATAAAACTTTCAACATACTCAGCCCTGTCTCTCTGGACGCGGGGGGCGGATTGGATCAATCATTAGGCAACGATGTCTTATCATGGTTGCAGTCTGACCTGCCAGTGCCCGCAGTGTGGGGAGTATGTAGAGGTTATTAATAGTCATGAACGGTGTGGTCTGAAAAAAAACGTATAAAAAAAAACATACATGTAGTGTAGAGTTGAAAATGCCAGTGTCTAACAGTCACACCCTGTTCAGTTTTCCACAAAAAGGTGCAAAAATAAAGATTCTTTGCAAACATTTTTGCCCTCATCTCACACAAACCATTTACGTGCCCAAGAAAGCATCATGATGTAACCACTTTTGTGTTAATATGAAGCTTCTGTCTTGAAAATAATAGTATTCAGTGTCTATAAGCAACAAGATCCTTAAATGTCCTTCATGTAAACAAACAGTGAAAAAATGTACGTGTACAAACTGAGCGTGAAGTACTTTGATCTTGGTACAAAACCCAAATGCCACGTTGTACAAGAGCTCTACCGAAAGAGAAAACATTGGTATTACACGTATGTGAAGAATTTTTTGTTCATAGTTTTATTCAGTTACAAATGTACATGTATTCAGCTTTGAAAGAGTATGATTTTGTTTGACATCAAAATTATGGCTCTCAAATCACTATTAAAAACAGTGTGTATTAGGCCCCCCCAAAAAATAAGTCGGTCTCTGGTCAGTGCGCGCGTCGATTTTAATCATGCGCGTTGATCTTTTTTTTTCTCCAAAATGTTCCGCGGTAACTCCAACAGCGCCCTCTATTTCCGCACCTCAATTTTTGTTACCAAAGAGCACCAAGGAATGAGAAATTGCACCAAGGCAAATGATCGAAAGCACCAAGGCAAATTATGGGGGACATCAATGTACATGAGGACACCAAAAAAGCAAAATAGTACCCCACCTTGTCTGTACAATCCAAGCTAGAAGAAAAAAAAAAAAAAGCAAAAAAAAAAAAAAAGCCGCGTGGCCGCATCAATTCCGGAACTTTGGTCTGACCAGAGACCGAAATTTTTTTGGGGGGGCCTTACACCTGGTAATGTACCTGTAATACACGTATACCCTGTTATGGTTATAGCCATATTTAGGGTAGCATTATCAATTTTAAAAATACTTCTAAATTTGATCATGAACTTGAATGCACTGGTCTGTCGTTACCACCCGTGAGCCATTTGTCAGACATGGGTAACCAACTACACCCTGCAGCGCTATTTTAGTGATTAGTGAAAAACATGCCAAACGATACTGACCCGAAGCAATTAATTCTAATCTTGATACAGCGTTCCCCTGGCGGTTACCATGGCAATCTGTTATCAATCCATGCCAGGTCTACCTAGAGACTGGGTGGATGTCGAGTCTGTCTTTCGTAGGTGCGGTCCAAAAACCAGAAAAGGTTGGATTTTTTTTGTGGAGAAAAAAGGAAACAAACAGTTTAACTCAATTTAATTTGAGGGCATTGGAGAACTTTTTCTGAAAATATTTGATATTGTTCCCAAATTCTGGTGACTGTATTTGTTAGTGAATCCAGAAATTCAGTGGGGAATAAAATCGTTCACTGAAAAAAGGCAGAAGTTTCGAGGGCTCAGTGAACTTTCTGTTACGTGTTAACATGACACCACCCCCCCCCCCCTCCCGTTTTTGCCGAACTGCATCTACATGTACATCTTCTCAAACCCAACTATATCCTATGGCCTAGTACAATGTCCATCATAACAGAAAAATGGGAGAAAGACTACAATTGAAATTGTCCAGCACCTAAACTCAATTGTATTCCTACATTTATTCACTCCAGTAAGCAGTTTGCTGCAACTTTCTGAATTTCTAATATTTCCGATGAGCAAATTATTTTGTCACTTTGAAGTGATTATACAATTTCTCTCTTTGAAATACATGTACATGACATGTACTTGAAATAAAGTGCTTCCAAAAAAAGAACTGCTTTGAAAGCAGTTCGCGTGTGTCCCTTCAAAAGTGGCATACGGTTGGCTCTTGGGGAAGAAAGTGTGGTCTTAGTTTCAATATTGGGTTTTGCCCTTCGTCCACAGCATTTCTTAGTTTGGGTCCAGCAGAAGGTGACCACATTGGAGCGCATTTCATTTAAATTAAAAGTGAATGTTGTTGCTTCGGGAGGATGTGTCTATTTTTGGAAACAGCTTCTGAATATCTCTGCAGTCCATCGGGGCTGAAATGTTTGTCTCGTCATGTTCCTGACATTGAAGGGAACAAGTTGCTGCCGGAAAGGGCTTAAAAATATTGGTATCTGGCAGCTCTGTAAATCATCCGATGGATTCAATGGCTGGAAGCACAAACTGAACCCAATCTGGTTTTGGTCATCAATGTTGTGACTTTTCTTGACATTATCTTTCAGTCTATGCACTGTTTAGATCCGCCTGGTCTAACTCTTATTAATTCGGATGTTTAACTTTTTTTTTTCAAATCCCCAAAAAAGAAACGGCGTAGGAAATGTCACTGCTGGTTTGTTTTTTCGTGACGAGGGGTCTCGAAAATAGCAGGCAGTCAGCGGATATTTGTGACAGACTTTGACAGCCTTGGGTCGTTGAGTTGAAGTGATGAATGACCTGCTTCCTGAGCAGCGAGGAGGACCACATCAACCATCACACTTGATATCACCGCTGGGGATTTCATATTTTTATTTTCCGTTTTTTTTTCTTACAGGTGTGGAACATGGAGAACATGATTTGTACACAGACGCTTTTGAGGCACCAGGGCAGCGTGGCTTGCTTGGCTGTCTCTAGAGGGCGCTTGTTCTCGGGCGCAGTGGACAGTACAGTCAAGGTACGTATGCGTAGATACTGAAAAAAGTGTACTGCAGTGAAACAGGTGTATTGAGCAGTAAATTGCACTTTGCGAACACCTGCAGGAGCACTGTTGTAGGACACACTGCATGTAGGTTTTGTTTTTGTGCTCATGGCGGGAAGAACACACAGCTTATTTTACTCTGAAGGTACAGGATCCCGTAGTGTCATGTGTGAGTGTCACTGCCAGGCATATAGTGGAAATGTATGCAAAAGTGCCTCTCAACTCTCCATGTCTCTGAACCATTGAGGTTGTACGGTACTTGTGCATAGATTTCATATATTTGATTTACATGTACCAGTACATGCCGATAAGTTAAAAAAACAATAGTTAAAGGCTTTCAATTGTCTGTTGTGAGAGCAGAACAGACAGAATCCTTAATAGTCCAGCCCCACGCAGAGCATTTTGCTGAAAGTTTCCTTGCTACTGGACATAATGGTTAAGTGGCTTCTCTTTAATGTGCGGTTGCTTTCCAAAATTGTTGAAAGCAAATGAACTTCTTCTGTGCCCGAGCAAGTGGAATTGTCAGGGGAGCATTTGTCTCTGTCAGCCTTCATGTCAAGGGCCGTGTTCGAAGGAAACAATCATTTGTTGTGCTTTCTGCGCTGATGCTTGCGTGTGTATGTCCGCAGTCAATGTTATCGTGTTGCTGTCATGAGATACACACTCCAACAGAATGCTAACAGACGAATGAATGAATCACTGACTTGCTGGCTTTATATGGAGTTAACTCAGACCACATGGTCCGAGGTGTAACATTAATGTGATGCTAAACACTCACGCACTCTAGATACGACCATATGTTGGTCTAGATTTGTGGCATAATAGTGCTCGATTTAGTTGAAGCACATGGGCTATAATGACGCAACCTACACCCCTATCCAAACTCTGCTTATTGTTGACCCAGAAACTATTCCAGGCTGCTTTTATCAAAGCAGTGTGCACCACTCACTGAAAGCTGTTTGCCTGTACATTAACACTCTGCCAGAAACAATTGCCATTCTCTAGTTTCCCTTGAATCAACCGTGTATGTCTGATTTCCTCTTGACAAAAAATAGTACCATGACTTTGCAAGGGGGTAGGGGCGATGATTGAGAGAGCATCTACACTCTCTCTCTGGAATGTTTTATTTTTTTGTCTTCAACATCTTGACACTTCTGGCATCAGCTTATGTTTGAAAGTTCCGTTCATGTTGCTGGATCCTCATGACACATTCTTCAGCGAGTGATTTATGACTTGGACCGAGTTCACCCCACAACATGAATAACAGAAGTCTCAAATTTCTTAAAATTGCACGCAAAGTATCTTTACCCTGCTCCACCCCTCCTCCCACGCTTACTGCATTAGAACCTGCGACACTTCAAGATTTTGACGAAGGAAACGGAACCAAGTTAAACAAAAAAAAAACCTGTGAAAAGAGTTTGACATAAGCTGTTAAGATGACTGTATTATAGAGGGACGTGTTATTACCAAGGTAGTCTTAGTTCAAGACTGGATTCAGATTTTATTCCTCTAATACAGCTGGTCCGTGATAAGCGTGGTAAAGCCGCCACAGCGATAGAGGGCGCTATCAACAGGATGAATCAAATGAAGTTTTGAGAACTCTAGCAGAGCTACCCATTAAATTCCGAGCATACCACGCGTGCTTGAATACAGCATGCGTGAGGTATGCTTGGAATTCTCTGGGTAGCACTGCCAAAGTTCCCAAGGCTGGATTAGATTCATCCTGTTGATAGCGCCTCTATCGCTGCGGGGGGTTCACCGCACTTGTCAGGGAGGTGACTGGCTGTAATAACCCTAACGTATATGCCATTAAAAATTGGAAAACAGTCTTGGAAAGCTTGCAATTTCCTCTTTATGTGACTTCAAAGTTTCATTGCTGAGTAAAATAACAAATGCACCTCAGAGATGACTGCCGAATGCAAGGCATCTATTCACTGTTTCATTTTCTGCTTAGGCTCTGGACATGGGTTTCATTAACAGCGGATTGTTTTTCCCACTTATCTTCAGGTATGGCAGTAAGCCTGGAGTCCAGTCAATTCTGCATACAATGCAGCAGCATCAGAACAGGAAGCTCATTAGACTTCATGTGGATTAGCTGTGCGTATGACAGAAGACGAAGGACTAGGCCAGGCTATACACACCAGACTGTATTGTTTTCCCACCAACGGTACATGAACCCTTCTGCACCATATTCGTGGAGAGTTACTCAACAGAAAAAACAATCATTAGAGATTCAGCAGTTCTACATAATAAACAGCAACTGAAATTTTGGCTGAAAACTATTTCTACTGAGCTTTTTTATTCTTCAGCCAAGTATTTTTTTCTGTGAAGTAAATTTCGGAGCTTAGCGTCTCACGAGGTCTGGTTCCTTGTTGCATTTCCTGACAACAGAGGCAACCTTGCAAATTAGAGTGTTGTTTACAAAATGACATTGTGGATATTTTTATTTGGGGGATTTTGAAGAGAGGTAATAAGTGACATTTGTTGATGCCGTTTCTACAAGGAAGCCATTGGTATTTAAGAAGTGTGACTCAATAGTTTTAAAGAAGAGTTTTAGAGAAGTGAATTGTTTCATTTAGCATGGTTCTACATTTTGATAGAGACTGCAAACTTTCAAAAAGAAATTTCCGAGTTCAGATCTTGCCGAGCCAGATGAGCTTGATGTTTTTCTGAAGCAAAGTTATTAGGTTAATGATGAAACTTAAAAAAAGAAAAATGTAATAAAAAAAAAATTGTTTTCAGAGGCTTCTTGAAGATACAGCACCTGTTTGATCTCCAGCACTTGATCTAAATTATCGTTGCTTATTGTCATGATTATACTCAGTTGTCTTTAAAACAAGATGAATATTTTAAGAATTAGAATAATGTAGTTTGTACATACTCCCGTGGACTGAAGTGCAGGGTCCTTTGATGATATATACTTACATCATGATGAGGTTAGCGCCAAGCATTTTCATTTTTGAGACACTTTTTAAGAGAGTTTTTTAAGGCTGTCATAGATGCTTTTTTAGTCTTGCATCAACAACTGAGTTGTCGTTGGATATACTTGTTTCCAGACGGTCAGTTGTTTTTGCTTTTATAGGTCACATTCCTGAATTTTAATTTAAAAATGTAACAACACACTAGAAACATAATTTGTTTATTCAGTTGGTTGATGCATTAATGTGTTGTTACCTCTCAAAATATTTGATAGTGTCACCTAGTGTGTGCAACTAAAATACTGATTATGGTTGATCTTTTGTCCACAAAAAGTCTGGTTTTTAGGTTGCAGGATTTGTTGAGAAAAATAATTTTAATTTTTCCGAGCTCAGTTTGTTGGCCCTTAAGTGTGACCGTAGGAAACAATACAAACTACAGAGGTTGCCCCATATAATGCCAACATCTTGGAAATAAATAAACACATAACATTGAGTTGAATCAAAAACTACAAGTTGAAAAACTGCATGTACAGATGTAGAGAAGAAACAGTCAAATGAGACTGACATTGCAGGACTAGGTGGCATTATACGTGTATTTTGTCTTCTTTGTTTTTAGTTGTGACACACATTTTTATGTCGTCATGAAAAAGACAATAATTATGTTGTTGATATCGTAGCAGTAGAGTATTTTCACAAATATATACTTTGTTACTTTTGTTTCTTGAGTATATAGGATTCTCTTATAAAACTAACTACAAATTTCATTGTAGTTGTGTCCTTTAAAACTCACAAAAGTAAATTGACTCAGAGCTATTGCTTCTTACTTAGGAAGCTAATTTTCATGTGAATTTGTTGTACTTTTAATCCACTTTCTATTAATTTGTTATGAATTTTCTTTTTGCCTCAACGTTGGGGGTTTACTATTCCACCATGATTTTTGTTTTAATGTGATTAACATCCATTGGTGAATTGAGTTTGTACCTGTAACTTGCTTCCCAAACTGGTGAGATTGCAAATAAAGTGGGGAGCTTTAATAAGAGCTTTAAAAAAATGCTTAATTTCTGTTTATTTTTAATATTCGAAGAAATAAGGCTATTAACAGTTTAAATTCCATAGTAGAGTATGCCAACAGTTTTAGATTTCTCGTTTTCTTTTATCACAGTGAACATATCACTAGTAGTCTTGTCAATTATTCTTCAAAATAAAAATTAGTCCCTTTTTAATTTAAATAATTTACTTTTTGACTTGGCCACGCTTTGATGACTGATGTATTGGATCCTACAACTAAAGACGTAATGTACAGATATCCCACTGATATAGAAGTACATGTAATATTAATTAGCGAAATTGTAACAAAACAAAAGATGTTTATATGATGAAGTACCCAAGCAGTGCTGACTACACTGCTAATTACTGGCAGAGTAACAGGTCAGTTTTTGAAAAATATAGTCGCTGACAAATTACAAATATTTTCTGTATTATCTATTTTCACATCATATTTAATAAAAACAAAAAGTCGTTTTTTAGTGCTTCATATATCTTTAATCATTTGGTGTTATGTCTTATAAGTTATCACGCAGAATGTCATAATGTAGATACGTGTAATATCAGAAAATGTTATTTTGAAGAGATAATACTTTTAATCAGCTTTCTGACAATAAATTATTGAAAAGATGAAAATGGAATTTTTGTTATTATTTCGTGAATTGATTTTCCTATTAAAACTAACAATATCTTAATACATGCCCTTTTCAAGTACATGTTCTACTATTTACATTAGTATTTTGGATTTTAAAGATTCGAAAAATAGAGTTGTTTTTCAATTGCTATTTTCCAAGCAAAATGAACGTTATTCACTTTTGAATGAGACATCGAATGAAAATCCGACGGTTAGTTATTGAATTAATACTTTGAATATATACTTTAAATTATTGGCTACCAGACAAATAGAAGTCATTAGGAGAAAACAAATGTAATTTTTGAAGAAGCATGGGGTTTACATCTTTAACCAAATCAAATGATATATGAACACAACACAGTTTAAGTTATCAAATATCCTTTAATTGTATTGCTCACTTCCAAGAGGGAAAAAATAAGATTTTAACATCATGCCCAAAATATGAAAGAAACGTAAACAAAAAAGTATGATTCACCTCAGAATAATTGGGATTACATGTAAGCATATCAGTTGCCAATTCAATGAAGATGCTACACACTGAAAGTTGCTTAATACGAAAATATGTGCTTAGCAGAAAGCGGTTACCAGCCAAAATGCCATGCAATGTATATTGCCTGTGACTGGTCCCCAGCTTATTTTTGCTTAACAAATGAATTTGCTGAGCAACATTTTCTCCGTTACTGCTCCGCGAAACTTGCTATGTACGTAGACAATGTGAAACCTTATGACATGCAACTGGGCAGTAACCAACAACAACACAGGAAATTCCAAGCGCTTCAAAACATTTTACAGTCATTTTCAATTTTTAATGCAAGTGTGAAGTGAAAACGAGGGAATCAGATGATCGCAGGAAAAGTTGCATGCCTGATGATTACCACAAACACATTGTACACAGTGGGCAGTGGGCACGAAAGCAATGAAAATAACGTATCAATTTATGTCATATATTAAGCAACATTATACAAATAACGAATGTTTATGAGTGCAATGGTGAGAATATTTTTATGACTTGAAAGATTGAATGTTCCATTCAACTCGTCTTCCAACTCATGAAAATATTCTCACCATTGCACGAATGCAAAACATTCATTATTTGTTTTATATAACATTCAAGTAGATCTTTGTCATTCGATTGAAGGATAAAACTTTAAGAACAAACAAAACTCACAAAATTTTATCATATCCACTACTTTTTTCCCAGCTTGTTCAAGGCTAACAAAGGTTTGAAATTGACATTGTGAGTTCTTAAAATAATGTAAAAAACTCATCAAGGCAACTGCATCCACTTCAAAGGCAATTTTTGTGCTGCTAAAATGCATGGTATGATCTAAATAGCGCAAAGATGCAATAGATCAAAAGGGATGGGACAAAAATGAACGGTGAATGGAACAAAAAATGCACAGTTATGACGTAGGCCGTACAATGGTTCGATTAATGAATGCCGCGTGACCTACAATGACAAGGATTTACTTGGGTGTTATATAATATACAAATAATGAATGTTTATGAGTGCAATGGTAAGAATAATTTCAAGAGGTGACAGATGGAATTTGCCTCATGGAATGGAACATTCCGTTTGTCACTGAATGCAGTTATTAGTTCCATTGCACGAATATGAAACTCATTATTTGTTTATACAACGCGTGAATACATTCTCATCATCTGATAATGGTAATAGTGTGACCGGGCAATGGAACTTCTATTTTTGCAGTGTGGCCGGGCCATACGTGAGCTGGGATGAATCCTCAATGACAATGATCAATGACATGACAATGATCAATGACCCAGCAATGAGATGACGGGGATATATTTAGGCCTTGTGTAATGTGAAGTAGTCAGGGAATTTTGGAAGTGAAATATACATGTAAACACCAATGTTTTGGTATGGATCAAACAACATTTCAACCATAAAATGGTTACACACCAAATTCATTTGGAAATAAATCTATCCTCTTTGTTATATTAATCTTCACTCTTCATCTCCATACAGGAAACTAATTAAAATTAGATAATAATTGGTAACTTTTGTGATGCCTAAGAAGTGCAAGGGTTCGTTTCAAACTAGTTTGGTGATTTGAAAACACATAAAACACCCATGGTACAATGATGATTAATTCTTACAAATGACAATCATATTACAAAAAATGCAAGTTGTTTCAGTTGTCAAAGGCATCGTTAAAAGAAATTTATAAATTACAGTCATTCATTCAAGAATATATGCATAATAATAATCATTTGTAAGTCAACAACACACAAAAACATTACATTGCACATTAGAGACACTTTTCTGGCAACATTTCGTTGAAGTATTGCAGGTAATACATACAATATTAGCTTACTTTTATACATTTTATTAATGTATTGTTTGTTTGAGAAATTGCTAGATGAACTTAGAAATCGTTGAATAGAAGAGAGAAAGACAAAGATCTGAAGGCACAGATGCTTTGCAAATTTGCAAAATGATCAATTTTAAACTCATCCAATAAACAGCTGTTGAGTACTTCAATGACTTAAGGAGGCTGATGGCCTACGGAGCATTCTGGTTGGAAGATTCTCTGCACTTTGTGCCTTGTCAACATGAAGGTTAGTATTTTGAACATCTTTGTGTGTGGTAAATAAAATCAAGGGGCAAAATTGAGGAAAATCAGAAGATCCACGAAAGAAATATTTGTCGGAGCACCACAGCAACACGGGGTCCATCTATGGTACCTCATGTATTTTTCTACAAAGCCAGGCACCCCTAAAAACTAATGTTAAAGGGAAAATACAACATTTGCAAACATCAAAAAATAAAACTACCAAATCATTTTGAAATACCTTGCTGGACTGTTAGTGAATGACAGTGTAAAGCATCCTGTAAAATCATGGCACCTGGTATACTGTCATTTTCAAGAAAAGTGCTATTTTTGTATCAATTTCCAACGCTGGTCGGCCGACCAGCGTTGGAAAAAACTGGCTTTTTTTCAAATACTGGCCCCAATTGACCATCGCACTTGTTTGCAATCGATTACACACCTATGAACGGGTACAAGCCAGCTAGACTGGTTCCCTGACCTTACAATTCCCCAATGTATGTTAACTGCTCTGTTTCTTCTTATATGGAGTCAGGGAACCAGACTACAGGAAAATGATTGTTTTTCTTGGTTTTTATAGCATTTTCGAACCCAAAACATCAAAAAAGTCAGTGTAACTATATTTGCTATATATTTCCAACCCCCCAATTCCATCCATTTCTGAAAATTACAGCAAAAGCAAATGATGTATATTCCCTTTAAATAACCTTTGCAATTCTTTCATGTATACTTTTTACATACATGTAAAAGTACATTGATGAAAACTAATTTTTAGGCTTTTGTTTAAATCCACCAATCTTGGGGGGGGGGGGGGGAATCCCAACCATGGTCACAATGAACCACTACCTATAAAATATGACATTCTTCTAGAAGACCTCAATTTTCCCTTGGAAGATCCGTCCTGGAATATTCCCCAACATATTTCTATGGCTAAGACTACTTCTGAGAAAACATTCAAGATGCACGTGGACTGTCATTTTTGCAAGCTTATTTTTTTGGGTTTCAGTTTTCCAGTTTATTTTGGCAGTTTTCAGGAATGTGGGGCAGCGTAGTGTGCAACTGTGGCAGCACTCACTTGTCTTCCAATCAATGGAATTTTAAGTGCTGTGGCCTTGTGGTTAAGGGCACTGGATTCGTGGCCTGTGGGTAAAGCTGCGGGTTGTGGGTTCGAGTCCAGCCAGGGTCATGGTGTGTGTGCCCTTAAGCAAGGCACTTTGTCACTCGTTGCTTCTCTCCACCCAGGAGTAAATGGGTACCTGTGAAGGCAGAGATGGTTATTGTGATTGAATAAGCTTGCTTGCGCCTAACAGGCTGCATCGAGCTGTATACTCCCCAGGGAGATGAGCTGGTATTTGGAATATTTAATTGGCCCAATGATCAGGGGTAATAATAATACTGTAAGCGCTGTGATTTAGCTTACTAATAAGAGTGTTCTTAAATGCCGATTATTATATTATTATTATTATTAATGGAATGATGAATGGTTGTTAGTTGAGTATACTGTCTGTGAGTATCTTAGGAATCGTAGGCAGTTACAAAATGTTATGAATCTTCCAATCAGGGTTGACGGCACTTACAACAGTGGCACACTTGGAAATACATGTTTATGTAATAGTATTGTCAAGCACGATATCACTCTTAACAATCACAGGGAGAACAATGACGAAAGCATTGTGCTAGCTGTTTAGGCAACCCGTCGTGGGGTAGTTGCTGCCTGGGGAAGTCAGCACGTTGCTTTCGCCATGCAAGTAGTGCCTACTTCGTAACATATCAAAAACCAATGGGGCTGTCAGTGATCGCAAAGCGTCATCTACTCTTCGTGCCCAAGGACGATATCAAGCATATCTCAGATGGCATCATCAGCAGAGCACGTTATCCATGGAGCTAGTGTAGGGTTGTATGATGCTGTCAGTGTTCTCTACCTGACCCTGAACCATGGCTTGAGCAATGTCAGCCATCTTGACCTCAAGTGACCTTTGCTTGGCACATCCTCGGATCGTCAGGTACATGATACCTCCCTGCAAAGGGTTCAACACAGGATATAAAATATCAGTTAGGAGCACGGAAACGTATCAAAGCCATTTTTCAAACCCAGATTCGTTTGCAGCTCTCTATTGTGCTTTAACGTCTGTGAATGTGCAGGCACTCTATGAGGTGAAGTTGTGATCTAGTTAGCGGTGAATGAGCGAGCACTTTTACTTTTCTATTTTAAGAATGGGATATAATTATTTCCAAGTAATGTTCCAAGTTCTGAAAGTATGTGACCTTTCACATTTTATTTTGTAACTGTTGCCTTTCATTTTTTGCCTCCCTGTTCCTATTAACTGAAAGAACCTTTTTTTTGTTAACAAAATATAAAAACTAAAAGAATTACAAGTAATATTTACATGTACATGACTACCTACTGAAAAAAAAGAAATATGAGTGCTAGCAGAACCAACACACAAACCATCTGGCAAACATAAATACATACAACACAAAGCAAATTATAATCCAAATAAAGACGACATGTGTTAAACAGTGCAGTATTTACAAAAGAAATAGAGGCAAGTGCTACAGTCTGCCAAGTGTGCAGTTGAAGGTCTTAAGTCAGCAACTTAAAGGCAACTAAAGATGAAGTGAAAGCTAATGAAAATCCCAAGAAGAACACAGCACATTGTTACTGCAATTTACTGCAATCCATCATAGCGTTACGGGGAACTCAAATTTGCCTGCAGTGTTCATCTAGTTGCCTGTGATTTGCCTGATGTGGCACAGCCTAAGATGTTGGTATCTTGATGACATATTTTGTTCAGTCTGATGTCCACAACTTACGAAGATGAAGTTAGCGTCAGGCAATGGGCATTACCCATGACCAGTCTGGGTTCAAGACCGAAACTACTGACCAGAAAAGGACTAGTACATGAACGAGTGCATAATGGATATGGTGCTAGGCATCTGTCGATATTGTTTGAAGTTTCAAGACATAGTTTAAGATGCTCTGAATTATTTGCGGCCGCACAATAATTGGCTCTTGTAAGGCGTGTTCATCTGTACGCAAAATGAAAGCTATTTTTCTGAGGGTTGCAGAGGCCCAAAATCATAAAGAAGTAGTTTTTCGTTAAACAAAACATTCAAATTGAAAATTTGTTGAGGGAAAAAACCACCAATTTTTAAAGAGCACAGGGCATACTCCAGTCCATGAAACCGAAAAAACAAAAGTGATGTCCAAAGAAAATAAGTCTGCATTTACAACTCAAATCATATGGGTTGACTCTTTGGTACAGAATCTGTTTAAATGTGCAATGACGTTTGAACTATATATCATCTCATCACCTCTAGGGGGTGACATTTTGAGCCAAGAAATCAGCTCTCTTTATGCAAAGACATACCAAACAAAACAAACCGACAAACTCAAAATCAAGAGGACATATTGAAAATGTTACTGTCTAAATAGCACGAGAGAGTTTCCTTCATATTTCCAACTTTAATGATATGTTAGTGGGTGCGTTGTGTTTGTTAGTGCATTCACGGCATTAGTGCAAGATTCTTTTTTTTCGTTACTCGATGCTGTCGTCCGATGACGGATTCCCGCTCTGATCTCAATTGGCAGTGACCCCAGATGACCTCAGTGAACACGCTCGCACAACAATGTGCATAATGCCAGCCTGTAAACAAGACATAAATCAATGTTTCCTGATGTTATAACCAGCGGATTGCTTGGAGTTACACTGCGTGTTCTGGACAACATGAACTGTCATATCTGTCACCATTTAATGAAATTAACATGATCAATCTGTTGAGGACAGAATATGGACTTGGAAGGATTAACTCTTGCCTAGTTACATGTACATGGAGCTAGTGGCCTTTGTTGGACTGAATTAATCATGACGGTTAATATGAGCTGATATTGTAGCTCTCGGTCTATAGTTGGCACTATTGCAATTCAATATAATGCCTACAGTAGATAATGGCAAAGAGGCGACAAAAGAATCATAACGATAATTTCAGACTGGTCATGCTGATGGTCCAGAGACACGTCAAACCAAAATGAATTTCAGGCGAAATAGAATTTGGTTTTGTACAGGCAAACTTTAGGTTCTAATTTTCCACTGGATAGCCGCTTCAGTCATTTCAAATTACTGCAGTCAATGTTTCAATCAATTGTTATTGTTGCAATTCTAAAATTAATTTTAGCCTTCAGAACACGTCAGTTTTGCAAGCTGCCAGTGAAAAACAGGTACTTTAGAGAATAAAATGCAGTCAATGCTTTGCTGACTCAAACCTTACAAAAATTGAGCAATTTTTGCTTTACTTCTTGCCCAACTTCTTGGTCACATACATGTACATCAACTCTCTACACTTATGAGAAATTCCTCCCGAAAACTGTTTACACACCTGTGAAATGGTACAAGCCTGCTGGACTGATTCTCTGACCTTACAATTCCCCAAAGTCTATAAATTGCTCCGTTTCATCATAAGTGGGGTCAGGGAACCAGACAACAAGATCATGATTGGTTTTCTTGGATTTGCCATTATCTCCGAACCCAAAACGTGAAGCAAGTCAGTGTAACAATATTTGCTATAACATACTAATCCTCCAAATCCATGTATTTCTGAAAATTGCAGCAAAAGCAAATGTTGTACATTCCCTTTAAGCATCTATTTGGGCACTAGGATCTATGTATCTTTCCAAAGCAATGTTGAGTTTAAATTCTGTTCTCGTTAAATATCAAAATACTGCTTTGATTTAAGTTGAGTGCAACATGGCCAAAATCATTCTGAATCCTGACTCAATATACATTGTACTGTAGTCAAGAGAGCCAACAATGATTTGAGGCGTTGGACTTCAGCGACACCACACGCACACAAACTCAGCACGTGAAGCAACACTCAAATTATTCCTGACAGAAGATGATGGTCAGCGAAACGCACGGGGACGACGTTGACAAAGAACGAACAAACCAGGAAAACAAACTGGGTTTTAATTCAATCGACACAGGGCAGAAGGGGCCTGGGGGAAACGATTGCGGTTGGACTGTCAATCGGTTGGGATAAATTGAAGCTGTCAGTAAGTGTGTTTAGGATAATTGAACAAAGCTGGTTAGCGGATTGGTCAACGACCGACGAAGACCAGATGATTGTACGAAAGAATTGGAGGATTCAAACTAGTCTGGAAAATCATGGCATCTACCGGTAGGAACCCCAAAGGAGATGAGCCTCTGTAATTTGAGCTTTTTGGGCTATCCCAGACGAAATCCGCAGTTCTTTGTTTACTTATCTTTGTATCGTATTACGTGCAGTATATGTTGTTGTTGATTTCATCTGAATAAAATTGTATTGAATAGTTTCTGCCACTTAACATTAAAAAATAATTGTGTTACAGAGATATTAACAATTTTGTTTCGAAACTGAACATGCTTTCAAACACCTAAAAGATGAACGATTAAATGTATTTTTTCCTCTTTTTTTTAATTCTCAGAAACTTAAAAGCATTGAAGTTTCTGGAAAAAAAGCTAAGTAAAACTGAATAAAATTTCAGAAACATAGAAGAAATCAATCACGACATACAATTTTAAGGACATTAAAAATTCAAGATTATCAGACCAATGCGAGCCTACCTACCTTTTCTAATATGTCACCACCATAACTACACTGAGAAAAGAATTACAATTTTGCTATAATGAACACAATGACGTCAACAATAGACTGTTCAGTACAGTAATCTCGTTCAAATGACAGATCTATGGCCATCACTACTGGCTTTATTTGAACATGAAATTTGTGATCCAAAGCAGTTATTCCTTTTAAGTCGCATATCCATTAACCCTAAAAGGGCCGGGTTATTTTGACCATCTCTCAGCCGGGGGGATTCCACCCTCCCCCCTCCCCCCTCCCCCCTCCCCCCAAGATGTCGGCCATTGAGTGACGAAAAATTTTGAAACTCGATACATGCATAGAGCAACTCATCATGAACATACCCAAGACATTTCATGACTATAGGTCAAAGGGTTTGGAATTAGGCTAATTAATTATTCATATGTACGAATAGTAATTCTGATCTGTGTACATGACGTATATGGGAAAATTCAGTTTTCATGGTGCGTAGCGCCGGAAATTTTTTCGCTGCACGGTAACCCGTGATCCGATTTTTATATTTTTTGTATCAAAAGATGCGCAAGGCTAGAGGCTAAAAAGTCATAACAGCTCGGGTGGCGAAAAAAAAATGTTCAAGGTTATCGTGGAAAAAGTCAAGGTGGGGGGGGGGGGTGGCGGTGCCGCCACCCCCCCCCCCCCCCCCCCCCGGCCCTTTTAGGGTTAATAGCTGACGCTTTTGACAATTTTTTAGGGCTCCAGTGGGAGGGACACACTGTGTGCCAGACTGGTTCACGTGCGTACGGCACTAAGTACGCACACATCACTCTATTCTGTGAATCTTTACGAACCGTAGCGTCTTCACGTGAGCGTCAAGCTTTGTCAGCAAAGCGTTCGAATGTCCCTCCCAGTGGTCTACCCAACTCTTGCTTTGTAACCGTTGAGAGGTGTGTACAATGTACTGAGGCCATTCCACCTGTCTACTTTACTTCTTACAATAGGAAAACCATTTTGGCAGTCAATCTTAACTGCACGATTTCAGAATCTCAGTGAGAGTTTCTTCAAGTCATTGTCAGACAGTGAGAGTTTCTTCAAGTCATTGTCAGACACAATGAGGCACTGATCAGTCCACTCACCCCTGCTCCTTTATCCCAGGAAGTGCCGGTAGGTTTCTTGGGGCTGATGCCTTCCCGACGACAGATAACACCTTTAGCGCCGTTGACTTCATCAGCTATGATCCAGACCTAAGGTACACAAAAAGGAACATCCATTCCAGAGTCACAAAGAATCAAAAGAGAGAATCACATTCACCAACTGGACTCGTAGTCACTCCTAATTGCTCCAAACATCAAGTTTTATAATTGAGAGTTATTTTGTATATTTAATATTTAAAGTGTGGCATTTTCCTGTCCCTATTTCCTCTGAACTCTGCAATTTGCCATTCAAGTATCATAAAGAATGACTTTTTGTTGGGTAGGTAGTTTGCTACTCATAATCATTCTTGGATAATGACTGCATTAAGGAGTGCATCAGAATCATAAAATCATAGATGTCAGCTGTAACAGGGACAGGACCAAAAGTGGACCCCAATGGAATGACCCATATTAACCTTTAGAGTAATTTAGTTTGGAAGGACTCTGAAATACCAGCCTGAAGCTGGTTTAGTTTTACCCTTACTGAATTTTACATCACCTGACGCAAATTCCATCTTATGAATACCCTTACTGTCTTAAATTTATGCGAGTTCAACACTTGGACGGCAGTATTTTGGAACATGTGTACATTCAGGCCTGTGGAGCCCTGGGGCCAATTATTGTGTTGAAATACTTGTTCAGTATCACTCCCGCTTTGTCACAAAACAGCAAATCACGTAGGAATTTTGTTCCTGTTTCCCACAATTTAAGGGTGCGTTCGAGCGTGTTACTCTTGCTACTCCTGAGTGCAGGAAAATGTTGTGTGCGCATTACTCTCGGTGCAGGAGTATACTCCCGGTATGATGGAGAGTACTCTTGCTAACCCGCGGGTCGTAGTCCTGCTGTTCGTGCGCTCAGGAGTACACTCGTCTTAACACGAGTAGCATGCTCGAACGCACCTAAGTTTCTCTTCACTAATGTACATGTACACACTTTCAATTACATAGGACCCTGGCAGCAATATAATGTCTACTTTGGGGAGCATAAGTTAACAGTGCCAATGTGTTTATAATCATGACTTAGCTCGTTACTAGACCTGCCATTTCTTTTGACGTCTCAAAGGTGAACTTGTCCCTTTCAATTTCAAAAAACCAATGCAGCTTGCACACCATAATCTTGCTATTTGCTTTAATCGGAAAGCCTGGCATCCGATAAAGCCATATTGATAAAATACCTCCGTGGCTCTAGAATAAAAAAAATCTCTACGGGAAAAAATGACTTCTTGAATAAATTATGCCCTGAAGAATGACTGAACTCAAGCTCAAGAGTACTGATCGTTAGGGGGACTAGGGTGAAAGCAAACACCCATTTTGAATCACATTTTTTATCAAAAGCGTCCTTGCACATTAGGCCGTGAGTTAGCTTAAAATACCCATTTGCGTTGTATTCTATTATTACTTTTTGCAGCTGAGGGTACGACTTTGAAGAAAACTAATCTGAAGCCACTGAAAATATGCACCAAATCAGAGGTAGCATTCGTTTAAGAATGCCTGTTTGACAAATCAGTCTCGATATAAGGTTTGTCATTTGCATCCTCAATTAAAAAAAGCAAAGGAATTTAGACATCCAACATAACAGAGCTCATCTGTAACCCAACCTAACCTGTCCCCTACCCTGATCCCCCCCCCCTTCCCCCCATCGAGGGGAGTCCCTAGGATGAAGGGGTAATTAAAGACAGCCGAAAAGAAAAAGACGGCAGGATTCCTGCAACAGCACTATTAATTTGATTGTTGTGTTATGGAGGAAATTCATCTAATCAGCGGCCAATTTCTGGCGGAAGTCTCTACAGAGAGAAGGGGTACGTAAGACACACAGCAGACATGAGACGCAATTGGGGTAGCTGGGGGGGGGGGGACCAGGGGTGACAGGTTTATTAAGAGTGAGCTAAAATGGGGACGTGAGTTGTAGAGGGGTGGCTGGCGCCCAGCAGGCTGGTTCCACAGGTAATGTGAACGGGAAATTGTATGAAGATGTAAAGGACTGACGATATAGATGATATCGCAGGCATTGTAATGTAGCGTCAATTATTTACAGATGTGGAGCTAGCGTAGTCTTTCTTAATTGTTTCGGCCATTTAGTTTAAGAGGGAAAGCATTTTAAAATTGACGGGAAGATAACTAATTTTAATAAAATTTGATTTCAAATTGGATTTGATTATCAGAGTTGTTGTAAGCTACATGTGCAGATATACGTCGTCATTCTACACTCAGGCATGCAAATGGGAATTTATAAAAAAAACTAGGAAATTCCAAACCACACAAGCCTTTGTACAGTTTTTACATTTGTGATGACATTCATGAGAAGTAAAAAACGAGGACATCAGCGGATACGAGGAAAAGTTGCATGCCTGTTCATTGTCTTGCCTGATGCCTTACTCACAGCTAAATTGCAAAGGACGCAGCTACAACCTGATCGAGGCTAAAATATGTAAAGGCAACTTACATGGCCGCCATACGACCCATTCTAACCTCGGAGCACAGGTTGATTTTGGCAGAGGGAGGAAAACTGGAGAACTCAGAGAAAAACCCTCATGGCACAGGAGAAAATTAACGAACCACTCTACAGACATACAACCTGAGCCGGGAATGGAACCTTTGCTACAGCGGTGAGAAACAAGCACTTTACACCTGCGCCACCCATGCCACCCCAATCATACAATTTTCAGGCGGAATAATTTCACAGGGTATTTACAACCGTCCCCATCTTCACTTTGAGTAAGTTTTTTTTCTCATTAAATCGGTAGGTCCTTTGCTGGGTGATTACCATTGTTCATGCATGCCTTGAATAATTTAGTGCCTTTTTACTGCTGTGTAAAGACTCTTCTCTAAACACACTACTTGTGGTGAAATAAAAACCAGGATGTAGCCCGAGCTGTAAGCTCAAAATGCCCAAGAAGAGTTGAATTTCCTTGGTACCGTGACTCAGAGTCACCTTCGCTGCTTGACACGTCACCTGTCTGCGGTTAAAAAATCACTGACCCAAAGGCATCATGGGTCGACTGGTTCTGATTGGTGGAAAGCTATTTATGTCGGTGATGCGCATCGGCCAATCAAAACCTGCCTGGCAGACTGGCTTGAGTTATTCTGGACCTGGCCCAACATTTCCTCATAGTTTAGGCTTGTGTTTTTCAAGTTTGTGACATTTGTGTGTGTAAACTTCTTGAAGTATGGGAGGATTGAATATTTCTCAACCCCCCCCCCTTCATTGGTGTGCCCCTCCCCTCAAAAAGTGTTTCAACAGCATTCAATTTTTATGACTGTTCACACAATTTTGAGATTTAGGGGTTTCAATTCTTGCAGAGTTTAATGTATGGGGTGTTTTCTGTGAAGAAAGCACCAAGTTAAAACAAGAAAAGTTCTTCAGAAAAGTTGGCAAAGCTTGTGAAGAGAAAAGTTGGTAGCGCTCTTGGAAAAGTAATAATAATAGGTTCATGCGAAGAAACATTTAAGGTTTGGTCAAGTTTGCAAGATTTGGTAGATGTGGCTTACAAAAAAATCTAGCCTATTTATTTCCACCATAAATACATGTACCTGGCATTTTTCATTTTGAATCCTCCTAAATTCTCAAATATCCACCACTGCGCAAGAACCCGACTGCACATTTTTTTGTTCTTAAACTATCAAGTCATACCATAACGTCCCACGCAAGCTAATGGTTGCAGTGCCGTACATGTACCTTCCCAAAATCGTACAAAATTCTTCAAAGCATTCCGGTACATTTTTATGTGGATCTGCGAGGGTTAGGGTCAAGTTATAAAACTGGATGGATCCGAACTGTTACCTGATCCCGAGGCCCAACAGAGATTTTGCGGACTTTGTTGCTGACGAGGATCCAGCGAGTTCCCTCTGGGAAAGTTGGAGTGATGTTCTCACGATACCAAAGATTCACTGGAAAAAAAAACAAGAAATTATACAAAGTATATAAGCATTTTGGGAAACAATGCTGCAGGACTCATTTTCATCCAATTCAGTTTCAGAACAAATCATCTTGAAATGCATCTCTTCACATTTTGTTTTCTTTCATAACCACTATATTAAGAACTGCGATACGCCACCAGCTCAGCAGTATGTATGCTCATCATTTCAGTGGGGATTTTGTGCCAAGGTCAAATATGATCAGAAAATATGACATTTGGGCGATAGGGTTTTTCATGAAGCAAGAATAAGGAACTTGGAGGTCAGCCTATTTTCCTCATAAACCTGAACATGTTTCTCCACCACCTGCCATCAATCATATCATAATGTTGATTTCCTTCCTGCTAATCGTCCCGTCTGGTTAGCAACATGCAAACCTTTCCTGCCCAGATGGCAACACCTACCAATTCTCCTCAACCCGACATGTTCAGCCAATCTTGGCACTAGATTCCAAGCCTCTTGTGTGAAAGTCTCCGAGGCAAACAACAGGTTTTGTCTAGACTGTATTATATTTGTTATTATTTTAAAGGGCAGAAAACTATTAGACAGATATTCTGATAGATGTGAAATACATGGATGCTGTCACATGTTCTAATATTGGCAGAAGGCACACATGACATGTTATAGTTTTCGTGAAAATTCAATTTGAAACTGGCTGCGCATTGTGAAAATTCAATTTGAAACTGGCTGCGTATTGTGAAATTTCAATTGGAAACTGGCCATGAATTGTAAAATTTCAATTTGAAACTGGTTGCGCATTGTGAAATTTCGATTTGAAACTGGCTGCTCATTGTGAAATTTCAATTTGAAACTGGCTGCTCATTGTGAAATTTGAATTTGAAACTGGCTGAGCATTGTGAAATTTCGATTTGAAACTGGCTGCTCATTGTGAAATTTCAATTTGAAACTGGCTGAGCATTGTGAAATTTCAATTTGAATCTGATTGCGTATTGTGAAATTTTAATTTGAAACTGGCTGCTCATTGTGAAATTTCAATTTGAAACTGGTTGCGCATTGTGAAATTTCAATTTTGAAACTGGCTGCTCATTGTGAAATTTCAATTTGAAACTGGCTGAGCATTGTGAAATTTCGATTTGAAACTGGCTGCTCATTGTGAAATTTCAATTTGAAACTGGCTGAGCATTGTGAAATTTCAATTTGAATCTGATTGCGTATTGTGAAATTTTAATTTGAAACTGGCTGCTCATTGTGAAATTTCAATTTTGAAACTGGATGCTCATTGTGAAATTTCAATTTTGAAACTGGATGCTCATTGTGAGATAATATTGGCAGAAGGCACACATGACATGTTAAAGTTCTTGGGAACATTCAATTTGAAACTGGCAAGGCATTGTGAAGAATTACTTTTGAAAGCGGCAATGCATTGTGAAAATATAATTTTGAAACTGGCTTTGTATTGTGAAATTTCAATATTAAATTGGTTAAACATTGTGAATTTTCAATTTGAAATTGGCAAGGCATTGAGAAAATTTTATTTTGAACCTGGCAAGGCATTGTGAAAATTTAATATAACAATCACTCTTGGAGGATGACTGCATTAAGAAGTGCCTCAGAATTATTTGATCATCGATGCCAAATTAACAGGGAAAAAAGCGGACCCAAAATATATAGAATGACCCATTTTCTAACTGGTTCAAACGTCATCAGCAGTGCTGTTGTCGAGTCCATCGCAATTCATTCCAGTCCCAAGTCACATTAACGTGAACTGTGAGGAAGCCATTTCTTTGTCACTGTTCATCCCCTGTTACTTATGGCCCGACTCATACATGTAGAACTTGTGATTTACTTGTGACTGAATTTGTGATTGACTTGTGACTACAGCATTCATCATCAGAGTAATAAGCTCTTCTACAATTTCTGCAACAAAGTCTACAGGTAGAACAGATACCACATACATGTAGTGTCTCACTCAATCCTAAGGGCAAGCTAAGACTATCGAGGTTGTGTCTTACTTTGACTGTCTACGGCCCATACTGATGTAGCCCCGCATGATATCTGAATCAAAGGAGCAATAGCTGGCAGTGCGATGTGAAACCATGCATCACCTGGTATAAGGGGGAAAAGAAATACTAAATGTACTTTGGAAAAATACAGGATACCAATAAATATTTCTCTATGTGACTTACCGTAGGCCCAAAAAATACACAATAAAACATTATAAAGCTAACTTTCAAAGTTGTTTTCAAAGCGTATTTTTCATAGTTATTAACTGACCACAAGTTTCATTAAATAGCCTGCAAACAATAAAGTATTCAGTGAAAAACCCAAAATTGTTGTGACAGTCAAAAAACAAATCCAGAATCAACTTATCGAGTCATTTTTGACTCGCATGCATGCGTTCCTTGTGCTATTTTCAAGTTTCACCTCGAAGAGTAGATTTGTTTTTTCACGTGATAGTTTCCGAGAAATATCAAAGTTATTAATTTTTGAGTGGGAGATCTAACAAAAAATATTATTCTTCAAAAAATTCAAATTATTGGCTGGCAGACAATAGTTTGGCCCTTGCAGGGCAGGTTATTTGTGAAAGCCTTTTTTCGGAGGGTTACATATGCCCAAAATCAAAAATATTTTTTTTTCGTTAAAACAAAACAAACAAATTGAAAATTTGTGTCTGGGATTCTGACTGCTTACCAGTTGGGTTTCGCACGTGAATTCCGTTCCGGAAGAACGCAGATCCGTCTTTGGCCACGGCCCAGACGCGATAACTACCCCCCATGGAGATCGACCGGAATGGCTGGTCGGTCGGAACATGCTGCCAACTGTATCCCTGGTGAGTTCACATATAAGACACAAAATGTCCACATCAATTACTTCTTAAAGAAAAGGGCTGCTCTATAACTTTCGGTAGTCAAACTTAATAAAGTCACTCGTTTGTCATGGTTGTGTGCCCTGTTGTACACTAGGACCCACGTTGCGGGTTGCGCGAATTGTTTCCAAGCGCGAGCGCTACAGAGCTGGGTTCAAACATTTCGTGAAGGGGTAGTTAGAAAAAGTGCAAATTAATTTTCCACTAATTTCGTATTCAAATAGAAGTAAATTTTAATTGTATTCAGATTGTGGAGTGTGATGGCCTAGCGGTTAAGAACACCGGACTCACGTTCTGGTGTTTCAGAGGCAACAGTGACGTGGGTTCGAGCCCGCCGGCGGACACTTGTGCTCTTAAGCAAGGCACTTAACCATTATTGCTTCGTCCTTTGGATGGGACGTTAAGCCGTAGGTCCCATGTGTTGTATAAATGCACGTAAAAGAGCCCAGTAAACACTTATCGCTAAGAGAAGGGGTTTGCCCCGGTGTTTCTGGCCTCCTGTATAAACTCCCACGTGGAGAATTTAGGAGAAGAACCAACCAAGAACCAAGAACCAAGAACCAAGATTAAATTAAAAGTTATCGCTTAAAATCAAGCAGAATCTGTGGGAGAGGTGTTATAAAACAAATATTGACCATAACCAAGCAATTTGGCTTTTTCCCATTCAAATCTATGTAACCAAAGCGAGGCTGGCAAAACAAATAGTCTGGTTCCTTTTTGCACAAAAACATTTTCATTCAGCACTGTTATTGGGTACAGGGAACATGACTGGAATGGTGGCAGCATGATTAAGGTCTATTACCTCAGGGCTATGCCTGGTGATGCCGAGCCTGGTTAAGACGTCGCCGTTGGAGGCGATGGCCCACAATGCAATGGGGCCATCCCAGTTGTCATCAATGTCGGGCTGCATGGAGACGTCAATGAGAGCCAGGTTAGGAATCTCACGCCAGGGACCTGTCGTAACTAGCTGGCAATTCCTGAAATGGGACAAAGTCATCATTGAAACTAGGTAACAGAAATAGTGAGGGTTGAGGTACCCGCTGCTATATCAGATTCGAACCTGCTAGCCAACCCTAGCAAGCTTGGTGGACGAGTGGTAAGATGTCTGCACCTAGTCAGTAGGAGGTTGTGGGTTTGAGTCCCGTCGAGTAAGCTTGTGAATTAATTCTTTCCTTTGCTAGCCCTTGGACTACAATTGAGTACACAGTGTTTATGAAATAATGCCTAGGAATGACAAAAACCCTTTGTTAAAAATGTCCATCCACCAGACACAAAAACAACCCATCATACAAAAGCTGATAGTTGCGGTACCCGCTGCTATATCAGATTTGAACCTGCCAGCCGACCCCAGCAAGTTTGGTGATTGAGTGGTGGGATGTCTGCACTAGTAAGCAGGAGCTCTTGGGTTCGAGTCCCACCTGAATAAACTTGTAAGTTTTTCCTCGGACAACAATGAGTACACAGTGTTGATGAAATTTTGTCGGTGAAGGGCAAAAACCCATCATTAAATCTTGATATTACCTTTTCCAACGTCGCCGTCGTGCATAATCGTTCCATCTCTTATCCTTATGGTATCCTTTACGACTGTATAAAAGGTGTTAAAAAAAGGAAATGTTTAATCCACTGTACGCATTACTAACATTCTCTAATTTACATCACATTAAAAGGATGTAACTTACTTCCCATATTTATGAATCAATGTTTAATCAATATCTGTCTGTCTCTCACACTGTTTTGATGGTTGGTTTACACAAATATATTCCCTGCTTTTGGTTCGGGTTAAGGAATGAAAAAAAAAGTAATTTTATTTTGAAGGTTTGTGTTTCTCTGGAGCTGTTTTACACTGCACCACTTTTTTTTTTTAATTAGTAAACTTGAATGGGAGCTTGACCACAAGTTTTATGATGCATTTTGGCACATGAGATAATAGTGTTTTCCTTTTTTAAATTCTTGTTAAAAAGGTCTTGCAATCGTTTTTGTGAAGATAAAACTATTCCATTACCAAATGGAAACTAGAACGGCGAAGCCGCCATGGCTCGCTGTCCAAGGCAGGAAGGGAGGCTGAAGGTAGGGTTGAGGATGGGCATGAAGGAAGGGGATCAGGATTCTTGTTGATGTGCCTAGGTGTAGGGGTCAGTTTTTAAATGTCAACATAAAAAGTTAGGCGAGCCATCAGATAACAGACCGTTCGGGTACCGGGTCCGGTTACTAATTTCTTTCACCCCAATCGGTATGAAGCCAGAAGCCACCCGGTCACTGAAGCGTGACGCCCCAATCAGTCCAAACTGGTGATTCAGTGTTTCACAATAGGCAAGTCTAGCCATTGTTGGAGGATTATTCGGCCAGCTGGGATTACCAGCAGTAACTTCTTTTAAGCTCATCACAGTCATTGTTGCCTACTGGAGGATTAGCGCGTCACAAATTGGTTCCTTTGTGATGAGCCAGACGGACGGACGGACGGACAGACAGACGGGCGCCCGGACAGACGGACGGAAATTGGTATTACATAGGCTCGCATCTGCTTCGCAGCTCGCCAAAAAGAAGTGTTCACCTTTTGTTATCTTTGGCATACTGCCAACCTTCGTTGTCTGTGCTTCCAGGAACAGTGAAATCAACTCTCCACTCAGTTATCTGCACACAAAAACAAATACAATACTCATCAGATTTATGCTTCCAAAAGTAGCTTTTGAAGTCAGGTGAGGTTAGGGTGGGGCTACGGTTTGGGTGGAGGATGGGATGTCTTGGGGTTGGGGTGGGGATGGGGGTTGGGATGGGGGTTGGGTGGGTGGGGTGAGTGTGGGGTGAGTGTGGGGTGGAGATTGTTGTGGTGGCAATGTGGGGAAGGAGGAGGGGTGCCCTGGGGGTGGGGATCAGTTTGGGATGGGAGTGGGGTGGGGTGGGTTGGGATTGGGCTTGGGGTGGGGTGGGGTGAGTTTTGGGAAGGTGGTGGGGTGGGATGGGACTTGGGGTGGTGAGACTTACCCATTGCCAGTGCCTAGTAGGAGGGTTGACAGCTTCTTAAATATTTCATCTTGCCTGCCTCATCAGTGAGGTTGGGTAGGGTTGGGTAGGGTTTGGAGTGGGTTGGTGGTGGGGTGGGGGTGCTTAGAGAGACTCGAGACTCACCCATTGCCAGTGCCTAGTAGTAGGATTGACAGCTTCTTTGCAACATTCCATCTTGCCTGCCTCATCAGTGAGTTTAGGTAGGGTTGGGGTGGGGTGGGGTTGGGGGCCTAGAGTGACATGAGACTCACCCATTGCCAGTGCCTAGTAGGAGGATTGACAGCTTCTTTGGAACATTCCATCTTGCCTGCCTCATCAGTCCAGCCTGTCTCATTGATAGGATAGGGCCTTTTTAGTGAGAAGAAAAAAAAAAGTAATCAATTTCATTATCAGATTAAGTTAAAATATCGGATGCAGTGATATGGCAGACACAGACCATTCTCTATCTATGCAATAGCATCTTGAGAAACAGCAATGTTGGGCCGGACCTTGTGTTGTTTATGCTCAGCCGTGCATAAATTTAGTCCTTGATTATACTTGAAATCCTCCACACTGCTCCAGGATGTCACTGCCTCTGCCTATTGACAGTCATAGCCGGAGGATTTTGCAGGATTCAGGCAGTGGTCACCCCTCCATGGACCACATTCAAGAAATAACGGAGGAATTTGCAGGATTGAGGCTATATGCTATTTTTCCATGAGGCCAATTGGAGGATTTTGCAGGATTGAGGCTACATCCTAGCAAAAAAGCCTAGGGAGTTAGGGTTAGATGAGGTTACAATGAGGGTCATGTAACCACATTACACATGACTGTTTCTGACCTGTCGGTAAATCCCAGTATCGGATTCCATCGTTGGTTCTCATAGATACAGACGTGCTTGTGATCCGTCTGTGTACCTACACCGCTGTGCACACCTGGATACAGAGGTATGAAGTTCAAAACCAAGCAGGAAATAAGGAGATCAATTGTGACCAGCTCTACAAAAAAGGGTATTAAGTCACGCTGAGCATTATTGTGTAATGGCCCACACAACATTGAGACAGTGAAAATTTTGTCAAAATGTGATTTTCATGACAAGCAAATGGTGTGGCATAATGGTCTAGACCATACAAAATCCTTCGTACAATGAAACTATTAAGCAATTGTCAATAGAAAAACAAAGCACACCATTAAGACTCACACTCCAGAATCGCATTTAACAAAACTATTCCCAATTTTTGAATAAAGTACATGGAAAGTTCTACATTTGAAACAGTTAGGAGCGGCTCTCTTGAAAGATCTACTGTTGTTCAGTCGATCAGAACGTCTCCAGTGTCTGGTCAATGGAAATTACAACATAAAGATCGTCTGTTTGAAAACAAAGTCAATTGGGTCAACCTGAGTTACTCTGGAAAGTCAGTCTAAACCAGGTTTAAGCAAGTCGTACCTTTGAAGATGCCTCCCCCATACCCCCCAGTATAGACCCACAGGGTGCTGTCCATTCCTAGACCCCAGACCACGCCCGCTGGGCAGGCCTCGATTACTGCCATGTGACCTCCGATCTGACGCCAAAACCTGTGCATAGCGACAATCAATACATAAGTTACAATGTGATACCATATTACTCCATGCACTAGAGTCTTAGCGTGGGCATCAGGTGTCGTCAGCTATGCATTCGAATGTCTCGCCCAGTGGTCCACCACAACTCTTGATTTTGGTGCTTTATAAATTTCTTTTGATTGATTGATTGATTGATTGATTGAACTCTCCCTTTGAAACCATACACGAGTCCATATTCCGAGGATGTTAACTCTGGTGTATACAACATGACAAAAAATTAATCAGTCTTTCAATTTTTTCAAGTGTTTTCAGTTATTCCCTTACTGCTGTATGTTATTTGAATCAACTCACATGAGTGACGAGGGAGCAGTCTCCATGTTGGGCAGTGTGTCGTACACAAAGATATCCCCACGGCATGTAATACACCAGGCGGCGGTAGGGGGCGGGGGACCGGTGATGCCTCTACTCTCACAACAAGCTAGGCTGAGAGCAGACACCTGCAAAGAGGTACAGGACGACGAATTGTAAACTTAGAGCAAGTTTAATTGAGAACTACGGCTGACCATAGTTTGGCTATTATCGTTTGAATCCACATTGCTTAACTATGGTTAGAATAGTCCAGATGACCAATTAATCTATCGCGGTAGAATCGCGTCAGCACAGCTTGTAAAATATTCTCCAATATGCGAATGGACGCGGAAGGCGCAAAATCTGAGACAAACAAAACTTAACATACAAAATTTCACAGGGTTGTCAAAGGGGCGTGGCTAACTTGCAAACGGCGATAGGTCAATTGAGACCAGGCTAGCGAGGCTGGTTACAATAGTCATTTGCATCATAATGCACACCAGGGAGCCAGGAACCAAGACGTTTCGCAATGCCATTTTGACCATCGTTTTATGAGAGATGTTCGCACATGGACCCTTTTACTAATAAATTCAAATTTATGCACGGATGCAATAAGCGAAAGCGGTCCACTGAAAATATACAGCAGTATGCCCAGGACGAAAGCAATTTTTGAAGTCTTTATTTTGCGCATCAAAAAACTCTCTTAGGCTAGAGAGTATTACCTATGACAATTTTAGAGACTTTCTGAAGAAAAAAGCAACAAATGCTGGAGGATTTGAGAAAAATAACCGGAACGTTTGTACCCGTGTACATTTTCAATGGACAGCTTTAGCTTCTTGCCACCAGTAGAGTAGAGAAATGACAGCAATGAGCATTGTTCCAGAATTCTCAATAAGCCTGATGGACAGGGGTAATAATAATAAGGGATCATCTCAACAAACCCATTCCTGAAGTTCCTTGTCGTTACCAACCCTCAGCTTGACTGGTCTCCGTTCCAGCACACGTTTGGCAGTGTAGATGGCGAACGCAGGCCGATCAAAGTTATTGACTTCTAAGACGCATGTTATCTCACTCAACAGAAACTGGATTTGCTGCGAACAGGAGCACAAAAGTAGGGGTTTGTTTTGTCATTTTGGGGAGGAGATAGTATGCCATGGCATGTCAGAAGCAGACGGAGCTGGTTAAGGCTTCAAAATGAGGAACACAGAATGGATTTTACAAATTTTGTGAATAGAGGAAATTTGTGATACCACTAAACAAGAAAATATAAAGCATGTCACCTGTGATGTCAAACTGACACAAATATTTGTGGTCATGTGATCTTGCCAACATTAAACATTTCATGTCAACACTTTTAAACACCCATATTTCAAGAGATGTACATGCAGTACAGACAATGACAGAAGAGAACACTTTGCTTACAGTTGGCAACACGTGACCACAACATCCCATTTTGTAAACAATGTGACGCGATCTACAGAATAAGTTTCAGAAGGAACTTACACTAGCCAAGATCACTTTCCCTAACAAGGAATACTATTTCAGAACACTGGTGCTTCGTATTTGGTTTTGCTGTGACAAATATAATTTCAATGTTTTGTGAGTTGTGTGTGAAAAATCCAGTTTTAATCAACAAGAAGTGTGTTGTAAAGCAAATGTCTACTTTAGTAATACTGTAAAAACTTGATTTTGATCTTACTCCTTGATATATTTGAAAAAAATTAAAAAAAAAACCAAAAAAAATTAAAATTAATAGTCTTAATTGAGAGCTACCTTGATTTTGCCATACTGGTTATAAAGGCAGGTGAACGTCGGTTCTTCTAAGCCAACCCCATCCACACCTTTCTGTAGTTCCACTGTACAGTCAATCCACTGGCGTCGTTTGCCTTCGCTGTACCACTGCATCCGACCAACCTTCACCCAAGATGTCTTGAGGGAGAAAAATATGCCAGGTTTAAGCTACAAGGCATACTTCACAGCCTTGACGAGCTGATGCCGTTTGGCTCACTATTTTCAGCAAACTTTTTCTTCCCAGTGTGGCACGCCTTTTGCCGTGCTCACTGCTTCTGATTACCGGTACTTGTGAAACAAGATCGATCGGAAATATCTCAGAAGCTGGGGGCCAACAAATTCGCGGCAAAAAAATTCAGCTTTTTGACCCCAGTGACCCCATGATGACCTTTGAGCCCAGTTTGGTCATGTGACATGTTGGGGCTGGGCTACTGATACTTTTGATAAAGTTTGGTTGAAATCGGCCAAAATATTTAGGAGCAACAGACAATGTCAACGTTGTTACTAACTAACTAACTAAGTACCTAACTAACGGAGAGACATGATGATTTGTTGAGTTGCTGCCCCGCAGCTAAAAAGATGGAAGCTCTGCTGGCAGAGAATCGTGGGCTTTTACCAAGAAACTGGGCTTGGATTTCTTGCCGTTTTGGGGGACAACTACCACAGTTACAACAGACTTTGTTCCAAAACTAATAACCAACCAAGGGCACTTACAAACTAATGTCCAGCACATAGCCATCTAGTTAAAAAAAGTCTGAGCTGAGTTTCAGAGTGCTGCGTACATGTACCTACCCTTTCCACGGCCAGCTGTACTTCACTGAAATCATTGGTTTCTCGCTCCCTTCTAGTCTTGAGTAATGCTAGGATCTGCCATCTCCATGCTCCATCCATTAACCTGTGTCTCAGACTGGCATTGCTGATCACACCTAAAAGCAATGAAAAAATAAACAATGTCACAATCACCAAAAAGGCAGATTTTAGAGGGGGCGTGGTTTGGGTGGCTAATCACCACCCTCGTCCCCCTTTCTGACCAATGGTAATTTCTTAATTTTATTAGGAAAAAATCCCAAGTCCCAAGTTTCCTGAAATAGTGTAAGACACCAGTGTTACTGTCGGTTCATTTCTAATCTCGATGTTTCTCTCCCAATGGGGCTCTTAAAACTTGTCACAAAACACACTCTACTGTTCACGGCGTCCATACTGCGATGAGACTGCACCATGCACCGTGGTGTCAGATGACAGTCAGAGTGTAGAGTATAGACCCACTGACAATTTGCATTGCAAAATGAGAGGCAATTTTCACTTCTATTAATTTAGAAAAGCTGAAAGATTGTAGCTCAAAAAATGCGGTTTTTGCTATATAAAGAACATGCATAGCAGTTTGCTACACAATTTTTTTACAAACTGCTCACTGTTAGCATCAGAATTTACAATGTCTATTGTGACGACAAAGTGTACTAGTGAATAGACCCTACAGGCTAATGGTCAACGTACTTTGCTCAAACCATTTGGGTGAGGCCATTGGGTCGATGGTACACCCTGCTCCACTGACCGACACCCACAGCAGACACCCGCCTTCACCTGAGGAGGTCAGATCAGACAAACTACTGTCTCGGTAAGTATCGTCCCCACCGACTGTCAAACGATCCTCACTCGAAAAGTTTGATGATAGACTATCTTGGCTTCGGATTCCATTCTGTTCAAGGCTTATGCTCCTGAGGGGTTTAATCGTAGGGACTGTGTTACTTGCTGGGTCTACGTCATCAATGGTGATAACCGGCATCGGCATGGGGCAGGTTTCACTTCTACTCCTGTAGGCATTTCTTCGTTCCAGTCGGGCAGTGTCATTCAAATCCTCAATGCTTTTGGAAAGCGAGTGTTCACTAGTTACACCTTCCACGGTTGGCACCTCTTCTGTGATGGCTTGTGTTTGAGTCGCTTTGTTGGTCTCAGTGTCCAGACTTTTTGTGTCCTCCGGCTCATCTAAACTACCGATGAAATTGATGACGGTGTCCGAGTAGTCTGAGGAGTACGAGTCCTGCCGGGCCCTATCTCGCTTTTCGTAATCCTCGTGAAGTTGTGTTAATGTCACCCCCTCGCTTGGGGGAACATGGCAGGTTTTGGTGGGATCTGATGAGAACCCACTGTCTTCGGCAGAGCTGCTCAGTGACGGATCGCTGGATGCAGACCGCATTGTCTTGCTCTCAGTGATATCCATATTCCTGGACTCTTTAGTCACCACTTTCCCGTTACTGTTTCTCTTATTGAGCCCAGCTACTTGATTGATTGCCAATTTGCTCTGAGTGGTCTGAGTTGTCACCAAGTCCTCATCTGTACTTTGTTGGACGGATGTCCATTTTGCACAGACCAGCATCGGATCCAAGTCGACTTTCGTCTCATTTACTTCTCTCTCCAAGACCGTCGCTATTTGGTCCTCATCCACTTGAACAGCGATTGTCCTGATTACTTTCCCTGCAGCATTCCTTGAGACAATCTCACTCCCCGTCTTAACAGGTCTGGTTCCTAGTGCCAAGGCAGGCATAGTGACGCATCGAGGTGTTCGCTGAAACTCCTCCCCATCTACATTGATCGGAGATTCCTTGCCTTGCCAGGAGGAGCTATAATCACTTCCCATGGACAGGGATGACATGCTACCGTGCAGACTGTTGGCGTCATGGCTGCCACCCGTTGAGCTTCTCTGACGTTCATGGACATCAATCAGTTTCCAGGATCGACCACAGAGCTCCTCGTGGGTCACCGCAGCACGGAAGAAGATCTGCCTGTCAACAAATCCGAGGGCCCATACCTATTGAGAGGAAAATATCAAAGAAACGTAATATTACAAATCACCACTCAGTATCCAGGAAATTTCCCGTTTCAGAAAAGGATCACACAGCACCACCTATTGTTTCTGTACGAACTTAGTTTTCAAGACTCTAACACTGCATACGTACTTTTACCAGCTTTATGCAAAGTCTACAGTTGTAAGCAGAAATGTAACTACAAGTTAGAGTAGTAATGTTTTAAAAAGCAGAAGTATGAGTTGATGTTACAGGCACTTTGACCAGATACTAGCGTTGTTATCGAGGTACATGTACTTATGATTGGTCACAAGTCATCACAAGTCCATCACAAGTCATTGAGTCCCAAGTCAAGTTACAAGCTATTCAAATGAACTGTGGTAAAGGCATTCCCTTGTTGATGTTTTATCCCTTTGACTAGAGTTGTTAATTGACTTGTGATTTACTTGTGATCGACTAAAACACTGCCAGCTCCCCTTACTCTTACCTGATCATTAGGACCGATGGATATCGCCGCCATCTTGCCTACCATCTCCACCCAGCTGGTACCCTTGCACGCATTGGTGTCCACTAACGCTCGGATGGCATCGAAGCCCTGACGGAACCAAACCTGGAAAGTACAACACAGTCATGTCGGGGGTTACCATGAGGTTGTTTTGTGTCCACAATGGGCTAGCTATCACCATTCTCTTGACTAGCAGCTCTTGGCATAATTTCATGACTTTGCACTGGTAAAGAAATTCTGCACTGTAAGCACTGAAGTCCTAGCTTCTGTGACACGCCAATAGTCTGTGACAAGCCATCTCCAGTGTCAGTGGCATGAAGTGACTGAGAATTATTTCTATTCCCCTGAATGGGATGCTAGTCCACCGCAGGTTCGTCCCCAGCTAATGCTGGTGCCCATTAGTACTCCTGGATGGATGGCAGAGGCAGATGGGGATAAAGTGGCTTGCCCAAGGACACACCATGCTGTATGGCCAGCAGCAGGATTGAAACCCCTGACCCTCCGATCACGAGTTAGAAACCCTAACCACTAGGCGACACTCCCCCACGACGTCCCCCGTACTCACCTTGTTATCCCTACTGATTGCCCAGACCGCGTTGAGACCCACGGCTACCTGGCCTAAGCCAGGCTCCTCCACCCTCCCCCACGATGTCCCCTAGCCTGTACTCACCTTGTTATCCCTACTGATTGCCCAGACCGCGTTGAGACCCACGGCTACCTGGCCTAAGCCAGGCTCCTCCACCCTCCCCCACGATGTCCCCTAGCCTGTACTCACCTTGTTATCCCTACTGATTGCCCAGACCGCGTTGAGACCCACGGCTACCTGGGCTAAGCCAGGCTCCTCCACACTCCCCCACGATGTCCCCTAGCCTGTACTCACCTTGTTATCTCTACTGATTACCCAGACCGCGTTGAGACCCACGGCTACCTGGCCTAAGCCAGGCTCCTCCACCCTCCCCCACGATGTCCCCTAGCCCGTACTCACCTTGTTATCCCTACTGATTGCCCAGACCGCGTTGAGACCCACAGCTACCTGGCCTAAGCCAGGCTCCTCCACACTACCCCATGACGTCCCCCGTACTCACCTTGTTATCCCTACTGATTGCCCAGACCGCGTTGAGACCCACAGCTACCTGGCCTAAGCCAGGCTCCTCCACCCTCCCCCATGATGCCCCCCTAGCCTGTACTCACCTTGTTATCCCTACTGATTGCCCAGACCGCGTTGAGACCCACGGCTACCTGGCCTAAGCCAGGCTCCTCCACCCTCCCCCATGATGCCCCCCTAGCCTGTACTCACCTTGTTATCCCTACTGATTGCCCAGACTGCGTTGAGACCCACGGCTACCTGGCCTAAGCCAGGCTCCTCCACCCTCCCCCATGATGCCCCCCTAGCCTGTACTCACCTTGTTATCCCTACTGATTGCCCAGACCGCGTTGAGACCCACGGCTACCTGGCCTAAGCCAGGCTCCTCCACACTCCCCCATGATGCCCCCCTAGCCTGTACTCACCTTGTTATCTCTACTGATTGCCCAGACCGCGTTGAGACCCACGGCTACCTGGCCTAAGCCAGGCTCCTCGGGCGGGGCAACATACTGCCAGCCAGTTCCTACAAGAACAATAAAACAAAATGATCATAACATGTGGCAACAATAATATACCCAGCTTTTGATGTCTGGGAGGGAGAAGGGGGGGCCAACCGAACTACCACGCCGAAATGTGGACATGTTTTTTTCTTTGGACGCTTGGCCTCGGTAAAATAAAAAAGGGGGGGGTGCTGGTACCCATCTTCCAAATTGGGTCACTCTTCAAAACTTACCATTATTATACATACTGGAAAATACATGGGGGGTTGAAGTCAGAACTCTCTAACTATTAACGGCAATACTGAAAAAAATATCTTTCAAACGCCCCTCTGCATACGCCACATTGTGCCCATTATCTTTGCTTGTGCTTGATCTTTTTGCCATGCTAATGTCTAACATAAACACATGCCATTTATGTTGAGAAATAACGTGGATTGTAAATCAGTCACTTAATATCACGTTTACTTGCATGTAGATAAATTCATAATTTGCTAAAATGCGGTCATAAGAGAGGAAAATCCTATCTGTTGTGAATAATAAACGATGCCAAATGGCACATACACATATTTTGCACCACAAGTATTTGGTTATTATTTTTTATGCAGGCGACTGATATTAGAATTTTGTTTGTGTAAATAACTGCCACGTTTACTACCGGATGCATTTGTGTGTCTGCAGTATCTTGGTAAAAGATAAGGAACAAATGATTGATTGCAGGACAAATACATGCAGGAAATCAATCTTGCAATTGAAAAGTGCTGTCTCTGAGGCAAACGCTAATTAGTGGTGCACTGGACCTTGAATAGATTTCTAATGGCAACCAACAACGGTTTCAGACTTTGGTTCCAGAGTCATGCTGAACTGAATATTCCAAAGATTTGACTACGTACGTGGAATGTTTGACGTCTGGAACAAGTAAGAGCAACCACATCGAAATCGAGAGTAATGCAGTTGTTCTTATAAACTCCAGAGTGCCGTCAATAGAAAATTCATTCATAAACTTTGCCTTTGAAAAATCTTTTTTGGGTTGACATGGTTGATGACCTATTAGTTCTTAATACTATTTGTTGCTGTGTAGCCCTGTTACTATGCCTACCTAGCGGATGGTCTCTGGATACACCAGTCCTGACTATACCCAATCCATCCCATGTTACACCCCATACAACACCAGTAGGTCCTACAGATATCTGCACTAGGCCTTTGTCCTCAGGTGTCTTCATCTCCTGCCAGTCTATCCCTTCTGGACACTTGAGGTTGACTCCAGTGCGGCAGTAAACCTGCAAATGCAGAGAAAGACGCCGTGATATTAGTACTGAAGCTAAACCATCATTACACATGCAAATGTAATAAACTTTTTTTTATTTCTGTGTGTAAGACTGGCGCAGTGTATTTGTCATTAGAAAAGACAATAGTAATGAAAATATGTCAATGAAGGGAAAGTAAAAAAACAATAATATTAGAGACATCTTTCTGATGCAAACTTCCATCGTACAATATAGTGATTGGTAGTGGTACCCACTTCTATGTCAGTTCAGAACCAATTTCAAACAAGCTCCAATTTGTCACCTATCATCACAAAATGAGCTTAAATTCAGACTTTTTAAGAATTGAGATATAAATTTATTTGGATTCTGCAGAGCAAGAGCTTTCCAATGGTTTATAATGTTAGGGATACTGAAATCAGTATATAGACCACCAACTTACATGAAGTTGTAAAACTGATTCAGAAGAAAATGGCATTTAAAAATCCTGCAGTTTTGTTACAGTGCATGAACAGTCAACTAATAAAATGGGATAAAGTAGGTTTTAAAGATGTTTGACAGAGCAAGAAAATGTGAGAACGGTCAAAGAAAACTTACAGATCAAAGTTCACCTGAAAACAAAAAGAATTGACCATCCCTTTAAAGTTTGGCTTTGCCACACTGTACTGCAAAATGGCAATTTCCAACTTCAAGCCCATTTTGTGGTGACATGACAGGTCACATATTGGAGTTTGCCCTTCATCACTGTCATTTTGTACACACTGTACACTGAGTGTTGTCTTCAATAAAGGATTGTTACCTTGCCAAGAGCTGTGATGGTCCAGACAGATAGATATCCCTCAGGTCGTCCTGGTAACTCACCTCCCCCAATAGCAATGTCATGGAAGGGTTCCTCCAAAGCATCAGGGAACAGACTGGGCACCTGGGCACAAGATCAAGAAAAGACACATCTTCAAAACCTATACTTTTTATTATATTATTTTAAAATTGTAATCCTTATCTTCTCAGCTCCTACGAAAACACAATGGAATGTTCCAGCAAGGAAATATTGTCTCATCTTGTTGGACCTTAAATTGTTTTTCAGTGACAAATACAAGTGTTTCTGCAGATTGCATACTTTTAGTGAAGGCTTCTATCAACCCCTTTCACTTTTCCTCCATTCACGTACGTGTTACTATTAGTTATCCCACGAGCAAGACAAGCGCTGATGGAACATGGGATATGTAGTTTGTCTGTGCCCCATACAAGTATGCCATGAGGCCGACGACCGAGTTGTGTGTGGGAAAAAGACGCACTACATTTTCCGTGTTCCACGAGCGCGAGTGGGATAAGAATTGATCTTGAAGCAAACTTAATGCACAGTCAAGATGGAATACGCAAGCTGAACATGAACTTTTCAGTGGTTAACCTATCACACGTGCACGCAGTAGGAATAGCGCGCATCTTAGAATATTGCGATGATACCCTGGTACATGGAGTGCCATATGGTACATGTATTAGGCATAATATCACACTGCTGTCACCACGATTCAACCAATCAGAATCGAGGATTCAAGCTACAAACGTAACATTCTAAAATTGGAAACAATTCCATGTTATGTCTGGATCCAAGCTTACCACTGCCCATACACCTGTTGCTTTGAACTTCCTATAACGGATCCATTTCCTCCTTCGGACACAAGAATTCCAATGCTTCTCTGGTGTGAAGTTTTCCCTGGCATTAAAATTGACTGCATATTGCCAACCCTGACAATAAAAAAAATAGAGATACAATGTTTAGAAACATTTTAGAAAATTTTAAGTCATAAAGTTTTGCCAACACATGTGCAAAGTGCAACAAATGAACATGTGCCAACAGATCTTTTTTACCAAGAACACATCACAAGCATGCATGTTGCACTAGCTGAAGAATTCTTTTTTTGTTCATTGGGTTGTTTGTTGGGTGTTTTTTTTTAACAATCACAATGTACAATGTACATACATGTAGGTGATAAATCTTGACTTAAGAAATACATGTAGCACATTTCTCCATGATTTTCAGCAAATCTGGACAGTCACTGACAATCTTCTATGTTGATGCGTTATAAGTATCAACTGAATTTCTGAAATTATTTTAGGCACTTCTAAATTGTAAGTACACTGTAACTGAATGGACCCGTTTCCTTTCTGAGGTGGTCTACATGACATTTGCATGAATACCTTTCCTCAAAACCATGAATAAAGTTTTTCCGTTTTATCTGTTGAATATAAATATACTTCTTTTACTACTTTCTTTAAAGTAGTGTTCTTTTAATATGTTTGGGTATCAATATCCATTCATTAAACAGTGTACAGAAATGAGGCGATTGGACTTTATGCACTGTTACAATGTAAACACTGTTTCGTACACTATTCACATGCTAACATCTATCTTTTTATAATATATTTGCAATGTACAATTGTAGGTATACATTATATGGAATATATGCATGTTGTCATAATGCGACCAGAATGATCCATGTAGTTTATTTTTCATTTCATTGTGAGGTTCTTCCAAAGATAACACCAGGTTTCGGGAAACTTGAAGAACGGATTCACTAAACAAATGAGTTCCATCTCCAATGAGCGATGAGTTGATACAGAAACTTGATTAAGTAAGTTGGAGACAACATGTCACCACAATTAATACCCCTTACTGTTTATCTAGCAAGTAGCCTCACATATAATTGCATGTAAGGCCAATCCCCGACAGCTTCATTTTTGCCGCCCGACTCCTAATTTGTTATTTTTTTGTTTAATTCGTGAATTTGCAATATTTTTTTTTGCAAATACTTTGTCAGAACATGTATACATAGGCATATGTGTCTTTTTATTTGTTTCCAACAAAACTGTGGCTACAAAGTATGTTATGTAGAAAGGGTGACATCTCCTTTGGACAAAATTTTGTATCAGCAAAAGAGTCAAGAAATTGGGCGAATTCATCCAACCTCTTGAAAATCCACCATCTTGAGAGGAAAAAAAAGAGAAAAAGAGGCAGCATCCTTTATTTTTTCAAAACGTCAGGACGAGAAACTACTGTGTTTTTTGTACTCGCCTAATCAACATCATCAATCACATGTACAGTCACCAGCTGTTGAGTACAAAATACCTGTCATTTTTGTTACAATTTTGACAAGTTGCTTAATCTTTACAATTCCAAATGTTTGCATAATTTCTTAAAACAACTAAATGCACACGGACTCCTATTCTTTAGGGTAAAAAAAGGTCAGGCATTCACTGTCAACCCAAGGCCTACCAGTTACCTTGCTGACAGTATTTGCATCGATAATCCAATGAGTCACTCCAAGTGTAACGTCAAACTCAATACCAAAATATTTACATAGGCACAATGTTTTGACATGGAAATGAAGACTTATTGTTGTTATTAAAGGAAAAACTAGACAACCATGTTGACTCAAATTGAGAATCTCAGATATTCCTGTCTATAATGCTTTTCAGATTTCCAATACATCATGTCAATCAGGTAAATTGAACCAAAAATCTTAGAAAATGTACATACAACCTGTACACAACTTCCCTAAGAAATGTACTTTAACTACATGTATATGTGCAACTTAACTATTTGAAATTTACATAATGAGAAGGTTTATTATTATAAGGACAAATCCTGTCAGATTTGACAAGATAATAGGCCTATGACAAATATGCAAGGATGTTTATTATGAATACACTGTCCACTGTACATGTACGTGACATATGGTATACATGTATGTACCAGCAGAAAAGTCTAAAAACGTTAACTACCAGTACTTGTGTGCATACAAAGTAGTCAGGTGCAATCAAAACAACACAATTACAACTCGGTTCACTGATGAACATGTTGGAAACTTGTAACACGTTTTTTTTTTGGTGGGGGGGGGGGGGCCGGGGGGGGGGGGGCCGGGGGGTGGTTTGGGGTTGTGTGGTCTTTGTTTATTTTCAACAACAAAAAAGGCCTATATATGTCATCAGAGTCCCCACAAAATACCACCCAGCAATTGGAACCCCCCCCCCCCTCTCGAAATCAAATCATGTTGAGTTTACTTTGTAAAAAAAAATTGCAAAACTTGATGGTCCCTGATTCCAATTTTCCTTCAAATGTAATAATATAATAATATAATAATATTGGACATTTATAAAGCGCAAACATATCCACCGTGAGGTGCTCAAGGCGCTATACATAATTGTATACAAGCAAAACAGCAGCAAAAATAGGTAAACAAAATCAATATGAATTAATAAACAAACTAAACAAGGTAAGGTAAGCAACGGAAGAGCAGAAAAACAAAATAAACATAAATGCAAGGGATTAATTGAAAGCTAACGACATGAGGTGAGTTTTGAGAACTGTTTTGAAGGACTGGATGGTTTCTGAGGTTTTGATGTGAAAAGGTAGCCGATTCCACAGGCGAGGTGCTGCTATGTACAGAGAATGACCTGTCTCCCCAAACACAGTGTGATTTTGGCTCATGTACAATACATCTTGCATATGATGTACATTCTGTACCACAGTCTTTATATTATGTACATATGAGCAAGTATACCATGGCCCTCACTTCAAAGGAGATCACTGTAAGCAGGTAATGACTGCAAGAAATTCGCCTACCGGTACCAGCATAATTATGTGTGCAGATTAGTGACTACATGTACATGCACATGGGTGTAGGCTGTCATTATTTTCATGAAGTCTACTGTGCCCTTCCTTTACTGGGCGGCACCTGACCACAATTTATCTGATCCCACATCCGGCCTTTCACACTCTGCCATGTAATTTTCATTTCCTGTTGAGTATCTGGTTATGGAAGTTGAGAAAATTATCTCCAAAAATGATCCAACCTCTGATTGCCATTGGATTGACAAAATTGTACTGCGCATCAACATGTACGTGTACGCCTACATGTATATATACATGTGTAGGCCTACATATAATTTCTTCTACAAATTAATTCCTTTCTTATTACACAATGTATGAGTTCATCTGTGACCACTGCTGGGTCCAAACTTTAAAGTCAGGATCCAACAGACCAATACAGGGTCAAATACACACCGACATCAATTTCCAATAAAACGAACGCTCTGTGTCCACTGAAAGTAAACAGGGGCGACAGCCTTTTTGGCCCTATTAATGCTGTTACCCATGTCCCACTCATACTCCTAACCAATGTGACCGGGGGAAGGGGGTGGAGGGGGTGTCAGCCTTACCCCTTTGCCTGTCCTCTTGCCCCTTATACTCTCATCCACATGCCACCCACGCATTCCCCCACAACCCACTGACTGGGAGTAGAGGGGGTGTAATCCTTACCCCTTTGCCTGTCCTCTTGCCCCTTATACTCTCATCCACATGCCACCCATTCCCCCACAACCCACTGACTGAGAGTAGAGGGGTGTCAGCCTTACCCCTTTGCCTGTCCTCTTGCCCCTTATACTCTCATCCACGTGCCACCCATACTCCAAAAACCCACTGACAGAGAGTACAGGAGTGTCAGCCTTACCCCTTTGCCTGTCCTCTTGCCCCGTATACTCTCATCCACATGCCACCCATTCCCCCACAACCCACTGACTGGGAGTAGAGGGGGTGTAATCCTTACCCCTTTGCCTGTCCTCTTGCCCCGTATACTCTCATCCACGTGCCACCCATTCTCCCACAACCCACTGACTGAGAGTAGAGGGGGTGTAATCCTTACCCCTTTGCCTGTCCTCTTGCCCCTTATACTCTCATCCACGTGCCACCCATACTCCCACAACCCACTGACTGGGAGTACAGGAGTGTCAGCCTTACCCCTTTGCCTGTCCTCTTGCCCCTTATACTCTCATCCACATGCCACCCATACTCCCACAACCCACTGACTGGGAGTAGAGGGGTGTCAGCCTTACCCCTTTGCCTGTCCTCTTGCCCCTTATACATGTACTCTCATCCACATGCCACCCATACTCCCACAACCCACTGACTGGGAGTAGAGGGGGTGTAATCCTTACCCCTTTGCCTGTCCTCTTGCCCCGTATACTCTCATCCACGTGCCACTCATACTCCCACACCCAGTGGCTTGATGGTAGCTTGGTGTCTTTGGGTTTGGGTAACGGACGGATTCCTTTCTCATCGGTCCAGCATTCACGGTCCGTTGGGAAGAGACCCTTCTGGGAGAATCCATGCACTGGGTTCCATCTCTGTCAATCAGAACATAACTTTCAATCACTACATGTACTCAAAATTCTGGAGCTACATGAGGAAGTGATGTAAGGGTACAATGTAGGTGCTTCATCTCTCCTACTCTAAAATCTTTGACTGGCTGACGACCCTTTTCTAGATTTCAACTTTCCTTCTGTAGGTCATGTACACCTTGTATGTCAAAATCTTTAATACTCCCTCTTATAATTGGGATTAACAACCATTTACTCCATATACAATGCACACTGCGCTGCATATAAATTACCTCATATCACTGTGTTGCATATAATTTACTTCATATCACTGTGTTGCATATAATTTACCTCATATCACTGTGTTGCTTATAAATTACCTCATATCACTGTGTTGCATATAATTTACCTCATATCACTGTGTTGCATATAAATTACCTCATATCACTGTGTTGCATATAAATCACCTCATATCACTGTGTTGCATATAAATTACCTCATATCACTGTGTTGCATATATAAATCACCTCATATCACTGTGTTGCATATAATTTACCTCATATCACTGTGTTGCATATAAATTACCTCATATCACTGTGTTGCATATAAATTACCTCATATCACTGTGTTGCATATATAAATCACCTCATATCACTGTGTTGCATATAATTTACCTCATATCACTGTGTTGCATATAATTCACCTCATATCACTGTGTTGCATATAATTTACCTCATATCACTGTGTTGCATATAATTTACCTCATATCACTGTGTTGCATATAAATTACCTCATATCATTGTGTTGCATATAAATTACCTCATATCACTGTGTTGCATATAAATTACCTCATATCACTGTGCTGCATATAAATTACCTCATATCACTGTGTTGCATATAAATTACCTCATATCACTGTGCTGCATATAAATTACCTCATATCACTGTGTTGCATATAAATTACCTCATATCACTGTGTTGCATATAAATTACCTCATATCACTGTGTTGCATATAAATTACCTCATATCACTGTGTTGCATATAAATTACCTCATATCACTGTGTTGCATATAAATTACCTCATATCACTGTGTTGCATATAAATTACCTCATATCACTGTGTTGCATATAAATTACCTCATATCACTGTGTTGCATATAAATTACCTCATATCACTGTGTTGCATATAAATTACCTCATATCACTGTGTTGCATATAAATTACCTCATATCACTGTGTTGCATATAAATTACCTCATATCACTGTGTTGCATATAAATTACCTCATATCACTGTGTTGCATACATAAATCACCTCATATCACTGTGTTGCATATAAATTACCCCTCTAAGAACATCTTACACCAAGACAACTGGGCACATGGAAAAAGGAACATTTTCCATGAGGATTAACAGGTGTAATACCCAACACGCTAACTTGGAATCTACCTGTTCACACCACTATGAATAAACGTGAACTCTTGATAATAAATGGGAGGTGGCATACCTGATTCTCGTATGTGTACTCCAGACATCTGATAGGTACATCACTGGGGTACATGTACACATATAGCTCCTGGTCGCACCCCAAGGCCCAAGCACAGTGCTTGCTAGCGGTCACTTTCTTAAACTCCACTAAGTGACCGTCGGAAGCCAGGCTTCGCTGCTGCCAGAGCTGGGAGGTAGTGGACAAGGTGTGGACGTGGCCGCAGTTGTCCACCGCCCAGAGGTAGTTCTGGGATGCCATGTGGGGAGGCTAGGTACTAGACCGGCCTGTGATGATTGGTCTGGCATTCATCTCGCTATGGAATGTGATCAGTAAAAGATGAAAATAACCGGTAATTAAGACCATGAATACTTCTAATGCTCCAGTTAGGATACTGTAAGTTATTCCACAAGTGCGAGTGGAACTTGGAATAATGTAGTGCGTCTTTGTCCCATATGTCACAAGGCCGAAGGCTGAGTGGCATGTACAGAACACAGGCGCACTACATTTTCCGTGTTCCATGAATACAAGCGGGATAACAACTTAATCTTCAAGCAAACTTGGCACACAGTAAAGATGGAACCCACACGCTAGTACACAAACTTTTCAGTGGTTATCCTATTACACCTGCGTTAGGTAGAAATAGCACGCATACACAGTGCGATATGCAGAACACACTCAGATTCTGCCAGATGCAATAGACTGCAGTCAGCATGTATACCGCATTTAGCATCAATACAAAAGGTAAAGTTACGAAACAAGTTTAAATTTCAGTTCATAGCACCATTTCTCGTCTACATTTGCTTTAAGATGACAGACCTGTCATGAAAGAGTTCATAGAGGAAATGCCTGACTACGTTTCAAGCAGACATGTACATGGTCATCTTTTCAAACCATGGACGAAAAATACCAGAGAACAAAAGAGAACAATATCGTCCACGATTCCCAGCATACGTCCGCGATTGGGGTCGTGTACAAAACATATGGCAGTCTTCCTAAAAAGTTCGAGTACAAACAAAAGAGGGACAATAGGACGTCCACGATCGACGGTGAACACACGTTTGCGTGAGCTGCTTCCGACCAATCCAAAACTGAAACTTAAAACTGCCTCCCACTTGCACAATTTCAATGACAAACTTACAATTCTTTGATTTCGACCTTTGCTTGTTTTATATCAATAGATTAGTGGACATTGATACACAGAAATCCACTTGACCGATTGACAAGTAAGATCAGAGTCCACTGATTAGAACTAATAATTATATTCAGTTCTGTACCACTGTAGAGATACACCAGATATAAAGACAAATTGAAAAATCAGTATGGCTGAAAGACGAAAGAGGTACATGTTTACTGATCTGAAACCAGTACTAATGAGGAGAAAATGTTTACATAGTAAACATTTGATCATTCGTCATAGGTCAATAATCCAAACTCTCTTTTGAAATTCCATATAATGCAAATTTGTTTCCCAGTTGACTAATTAACCCAATACCTTCTAGATATTTTTGCTGGGAACTTTCTTGGGTCCCTCTTTTTGGTATATGTTGTTTAATTTAATTTTCCAAGGAGTTCAAGCCTAATCATTTTCATGTGTACCTGCCTCACTCCTGCAAAATCCTCCAAAAACCTCCTGGAGATATTATCGTTTCAGTGCGCGATGCCATAGCACATGATCAGGATATCACCATTGTGCTGAGAAGAAGATAATCTCCCCTCTTTAGAAAAATGGTCAGACTGAACTTATCGCCCACTGGTACCAATCTTGCAAGTCAACGCGCTATTTGAATCATGCGCCTCTGAAGAAGGCCTTGCTAAGGCTGAAATATAAGGCCACTTTAATTTTTTACTGAATAAACAAAACCCTACACAGTTTTTTTACTTTAAAGTTGTAAGCGTTACTAAAAAACTACATGAAAACAAAATTTGAGCAATATCGAAAGCCATGAAAGCACCGAGAACGTTGTCGTCTGCAGATGAGTTAAATTGGTTGCCACGAAAGTAACGTGACCACAATTCGCGCAGACGCGCACGAATGGAAATCATCATTCAACAGAGTTTCCATTGTGTCCTACTTCTGAAAACAGTGTGGATCAATGTTTTTTTAATCACTTAAGGATAACTTAAAGTGCAAAATCTTGGTCTGTGGTTTGATAAACTAACTTTTATTTGCACGAGAAGCCATCGAGATCCACAAGCACAACACAGTTCCGCAAGACATCGGATTTCATCTCAACGACATCTGGCTCCCACTCCTCCAGACCTGATGGGTCTCCTACACCCTAGGTCCTCTGCTATCACCTAAGACTAATGGGTCTCCTATTCCCTAGGTCATCCCTCTACTGAGACTACACACAGGATCATGATACAACCTTACCCTTCAGCGATTTCGCTTTTGCTATTTATTTTAAGTGTTTACTTTCTTAAAGTTTAGGCACTCTCCTGAAGATGGTCAGAGCACGTCGAATTTATACCTCTGGTTCTTTTCAGAACCATTCTTTTTCAGTTTTTGGTTGAAAAATTATTCCCACATGGTGTTTCCGCAAACCTTTCATTCATTAGTATAGTATCTCCACCATGCAAAGCCTCAAATCTTGACGTGACGTCATTAGTACAAAGCCTTATTGACATTGGTGCGCGGTCCTACTAAAGCGCGTCAACAAGCGTCAACAAGTTTTAGTAGTCGTTAAGTGCGCGTCAACAAATTTTTTATAGGCTTTTGAACAATAAAAACAGCTTTATATGGTAGAAAAAGCAATAATGAACATCTTCTGCATATCAATTAAAGTTAAAATTACTTAAAAAGTGGTTTTCCAGCGCGAAATCTACGACGGGTTTTTCGGTTTAGTATTGGCCGCCGTCTTGTTTGAGATCTACATACTACGCATGCGTGGAGTGTACCATTCACACATAGGGGTTTCTTTATACTATACGCTTTGCGAAACCTCGTTTGGTTTTTGCATTGGGATTTTTTGGCAGACATTGTGAACCGTGTCAGTCGGCATATTTTTCAAATAATTAGCCAAGTACCGTGACCAAGTTTTGCATAATTTATAATTGAAAAAAAAAAAATAGTTTTCCTAATTTCTTAATAAACGAGGTATCGCTAAGCGTATCGCGTATAAAGAAACCCCTATGCGTGAATGGTACACTCCACGCATGCGTAGTATGTAGATCTCAAACAAGATGGCGGCCAATACTAAACCGAAAAACTCGTCGTAGATTTCGCGCTGGAAATCCACTTTTTAAGTAATTTTAACTTCAATTGATATGCAGAAGATGTTCATTATTGCTTTTTCTACCATTATAAAGCTGTTTTTATTGTTCAAAGGCCTATACAAAATTTGTTGACGCGCACTTTACGACTACTAAAACTTGTTGACGCTTGTTGACGCTTGTTGACGCTTGTTGACGCGCTTTAGTAGGACCCTTGGTGCGTGTTGCATGCAAAAAGATACGAGCCCAGAAAGTTGGTTTCGCGAATTATATTTTGATGTATAAACGGGCAGCGCACCGCGAATTTTGTGGGGCACTGCCACTGACTGCAGTGTAGACCCGTGAACGTGGCGTTGTATACAACGCCACGTTCTTGTTTCATTTCGAACCTGGCGAAATCGATCCGACATACATAATTCCGTATGGGTGTTGAGTACTCACCTAGAAATCTAAATTTGCCCGTCCGATTGTTTCGGTTGTGTAATTTCGACGAAATTTGCCCATCAGTAAAGACCCATACGAACGTGTAGAAATTAGATTTTAACCCGACCCTGACAAATAACCCCGGACGCGTCTGAGTCGCTTGGACAGATTGACGGCTGTTTCATGTCGCAACCCCGAAAAAAAAACCCCGCAGACGATTGGCTGCTCGGCTCATCTCGTGTACATACAGTACGTGTGCGCACACACACGTACACGCGGGCGCACGTGCGACCGCGTGCAGTGCGGTGAGAGAGGAAAGGACTTGAAACGTGTCTAAAAGTAAAACGATGTCTGTTTTAGCTGCGACAGTAAACAGCCGTCGAATCATACGAAAATAAAACGCAATGCGCATGCGTCAGTTGGGAGAAAATGGCAGCTCGCAGTAGCGGACGGACGTCATGAACCGGGGCCAGAATGTTCCTCAATTTTCGTCAAATGCAAGTTTTGACGTACAAATAGAATTCAAGACAGCTTCATATGTGAGTACTTATTACATGGGCAAAATAACGTCCAGTGTGTGTAACGGAGGGAGTCAGAAGGACACGTTCGCCAGGTTCGAAATGACATAAGAACGTGGCGTAGTTTACAAGCCACGTTCACGGGTCTAACTGCAGTGTAGACCCGTGAACGTGGCGTTGTAGTTTACAAGCCACGTTCACGGGTCTAACTGCAGTGCAGTGTCAATTAGTGTACGCTACGATATTCGTTAGCATTGGTCATGTTGGCATGTTGGTTAGTCCGAAATTTGGGCACGTCACTCATGGCTGTCATGCTGTGGTTCTACACCAAAACTTTGTACGCTGACTCATCAGTTAGAATCGATATACCATTTTCTCATGAGACGACTTTCTCAGGAGTCCTCCAAAACTTAGACTGCCGTCATAAATGGAACACACAAGAACTTTGCCTTACCATTTCCACACATTGTCACCTGGTCACTGGCACTTCCACAAGTTCACGAATTGTACTAGTCTTGCTTCAAGGCCAGGATGGGCGTCCTTGTTTGCTGTATTTTCTATTCTCGCCTTCAATCTCCGCATGAGGGCGCTATTGCCAACGAACGAGAAAAAGTGACTTTTCATTCGGCCTACTACTTTTGGCCGTGCACACAAAGATAGCAAAAATAGAAAGTATGATATGACTCGCTCTCGGCCAATCATGACACAGAATCTGTGGGTGAGGTGTTATAATATACAAATATTGAATGCTTCGAGTGGTGTAGTAAAACTAGCCTCCCTCGGTGATCCATGGACATTCTATTTTTCCCGAGGCAAAGCCGAGGGAAAATAGAATGCTCCATGGATCACCGAGGGAGGCGTGACGTTTTACTTGTACCACGAGATAAAGCATTCAATATTTGTTTTATAACACTTCACCCACAGATTCTGCTTGGTTTTAATATTTTTAAAGGGAATATACAACATTTGCAAACATCGAAAAATAAAACTACCAAGTTTTTGCGAAATACCTTAATAGGATGTTGGTAAATGACAGCCTAAAGCATCCTGTAAAATTATGGCACCTGGTATACTGTCATTTTCAAGAAAAGTGGTATTTTTGTATCAATTTCCAACGCTGATCGGCCGATCAGCGTTGGAAACAACTGGCTTTTTTTCAAATACTAGCCCCAATTGACCATTGCACTTGTTTGCAATCGATTACAAACCTATAAACGGGTACGAGCCAGCTAGACTGGTTCCCTGACCTTACAATTCCCCCAAAGTATGTAAACTGCTCTGTTTCTTCTTATATGGAGTCAGGGAACCAGACTATAGGAAAATTATCGTTTTTCTTGGTTTTTATAGCATTTTCGAACCCAAAACCTCCAAAAAGTTAGTGTAACTATATTTGCTTTATATTTCCAACCCCCCAATTCCATCCATTTCTGAAAATTACAGCAAAAGCAAATGATGTATATTCCCTTTAATTATTTAATTCTGAACACAATTAAAATAAAATTCAATTTCAATACAAAATTGGTGGGAAATGTACTTTGGTTGCTGTATAGTAAGTACTTTGGTTGCTGCGGGTATAGTACTTTTGGCCGTGCACTGATATATAGCAAAAATAGAAAGTACCATGTGACTCGCTCTCGGCCAATCAAGACACAGAATCTGTGGGTGAGGTGTTATAATTAAGTTTTAGGCTTACCGGGCCTACGCAGCTGCGCTAGCGCGAATAGACTTTGTTGTGCATTTTTGTGAGTGTTTTGTCAAATCGTGTGCACACGATTTGAATGACGTGCTTAATTGGGTGTGGACCAGGCCGCGGCCCTACCCGACCTTCGTCTCCGCCATGCCAGCGCCACTTGACCCAAATCCACGACAAAACTGTATTGAATCACAACGACTGTTGATCAAGACTAGTCTTCGCGAACAATAGGTCGAAGGTCACAAGTATTCACTGGTAACCGTACTGCACTTAACGTTGAGATTGTTTGTAATCACAAACCAGCGTAAATTGTGTAAAATAATTTCGTGTGTTTGCTTAATTCTGGCGCATCACGCGTGACGTACGTTCATCATCATGTGAGTGAGTTAGTCTGTCATAATATTTGGCGTTTTCAAGACATTGTTCGATTCAGACTTTGATAGATTTTGAGTTGCGATTAACATATTTCCCACAGAGAATGACAATCAAACTTATAGACTGAGAAGTTATCTGGTAAGTTCATGTTATCAATGGTTATTATTTTGTAAGACTAAGACCTACTGACAAAATAAAATTTACAAAAAAACTTACAATTTAAATAGTTTGAGCATGTTGAGTAACTAACTAGTGACAATGAATGAATGACGTAGGGAAAAATGTTGCAACCTGACGCCACTTTAGCGGTTGTGTACAAAGTCTATGGAGAGTCAAGAACATTTTCTAAGCACTTCCTAACAAAATGGGAAATGTTTGTCAAGTCCCAGATTCATATCTTATCATCAATTTTGCAATGACTGACTTTCATTGAGATGATTATGATTTATTGGTTATGATTAATATGGAAAAAAAGAGGCGTATATAAATAATATATATATTTTATATATAAATAAATATAGGCCTATATAAAAGAGGCGTATAAAAAATCCGGCGTGGGGTTCGGGGCCCGCTTAAGGGCCCCAAAAAATGTTGCATTCTAGACGCTCTGTGGTGCAATGTGAGGCATATAAGGTCACTTTCTTCTTACTTTTTTGGGCAGTATATGTGAATAAAATATTGATATAAATTATTGAAGTTTTTTTCAAAAAATCCTACATAGGCCCCTATTTATTTGTGAAAATGTAGGCCTACCACCAGGAAGTCGAGCACTTTTTTGATTTTTTTTACAACCCTGGAAAATTTGGTATGAATTGGAAAGAGAATCACACGACAAAATCACTAACGTTTAAATTAGTTTCATATGAGCTTGCATTCTGGAGATATAATAGTTAAAATAAAAAAAATTCAATGAAATTGAAAACATTCTGAAATGTTTAGTGTCAAAATATTATTATTATTTTAACACCTCTAAATTTTTCGAATCCATCAAAATGTTTAATCAGCTTTTTATCACTCGTTACAGAAAAGTTATGATTTTTTCCCCTTGTAACACTAACACCGCGCCGCACGATTGTACGACATATATCTGACTCTGGGCCCACACCGCAATGCGACCACACAGCCCGCCGTAACACACGGGTAAAATACAGCTCCATTCACGGTACACACAACGCGGCAACACAAAACATGCACGTGTATGCGTAATCATGCTCCGAAAATCATGTGAACTTTTTTTACTGCTTGTTGCACGCAGTGTTGTAAATTTTTCAATGCCCTTCAAAAAGATTTCCTCGATATCGACATACCCGTCCCTCTATAAAATATTTTGGTTCATTTGTCATTTACACCCGGGATTAAATGAAGTGGTTGAGAAGGTTTATTCAGACAGCATACATGATTTACAATGAACATTGGAGTGTCATTCAAAATATTGCCTTTGTTTGCTTTTATTATAGTTTTAAGTGTGATAGCCTATAGGTTCAACCTTGGCCGGATTGAAAAATAAAGCCGTGGTTTTTTTTTCGATTTGTATATGTCAGGTCACTGTAGTCAGTTACCAGTCATTTGTAGCAGTTTTATTTATTTTCTATTTGATATTTACAGCTATTTGTTTGAATTTCAGGTGTATAAAAACACTTTTTTCACTACCAAAGAAGCAAGACCAGTATTCCTAGAATGTCGGACCCTTTCAAGGGAGAGCAGCCACCAGCTTACACTCCTGCCCCACAGGGGTATGGGGCCCAGCCGGCCCCTCAGGCATACCCAGGGGTGCAGGGTTATCAAGGTAATTACATGGACTTGAAGGCCAAAGACCTGTCCCCATATCTTTATATGAGGGCAGGCAATGTTGTCAAAGCCTGTAAATTGTATCGATTTGCCATGCGATCTAATGGTGAGTATTCCTTACTATAGTCTGATGTGTTTACATGGAATGCATAATCATCTGTACTGTGCTGTTAATATGTAAATTAAGTTGAATTTGTTTCAATAGTCACTAGGATAATGATGTGCAGACCGTTTTCTGACCATGCTGGTTATCGTTGCTAGGAATGTGGACAAGTTATTTCGTAACAATTTAAACAATGCACAAGGCAAATGCTGCCAGTTATGGTGATAAATGATGGTATACATCAGAGAGTAATACCAGAAAAATTGTTCAGTCAAAATAAAGTGACCCTCTCTATTTTGAGTTGTCACAAGCAGAATGCAACAAGAATCCAAAATGTGATTGAGCACATCCTTTTATTTGTTCAGATTAATGTTGGGAATGGTCTGAAATTGTCTGACTTGTGACTGTATATTTCACCCTTTGTATGATAACTACAATGTATGGTTCCCGGTGTACATGTGTGGTATGTCGCAATCTTATTCTCATTATTGCTCTACAGGTTATCAAACCGGTGCACCGCCAGGCTACCAGCAGGTCACCGGTGCCCCGCCAGCCGGCTACATCCCGGCCCAGCCTATCCGAGTGACGTCCACCAACGTGGTGGTGGTCGGTGGCTGCCCGGCATGCCGCATTGGCATCTTGGAAGATGACTTCACCCTTCTTGGCGTGTGCTGTGCTATCTTGTTCTTCCCTCTGGGCATCTTGTGTTGTCTCGCTATGAGGCAGAGGCGATGCCCGAATTGTGGAGCTGTCTTTGGCTGATCTCCGTCTCCCAGACCGGTAACCCATCCTCAAGAATCATGACCCAAGATTATTTTAGAGGCTGTTTTCTGACAGCTTGATATATATTGGCTTAGAAGTGGCCAGGAGAAATTAAAATCACATCATTTTAGTTTGATGGAAGTGCTGTAGTCTTTGTCCAAGTCCCTGCATGCAGTAAATGGCAGAAAGGAGTCTTGATTTTTATAGGAGTAAAATATTCAAGAAAAATTAGATACAATCCTTTATTCTGTTATGACCTAGCTCCAGCCCAGACTTGACCATGGACTCAAGCTTATACTTAAATTCTAATGGCTTCGGCTGAGGAGTTACATAATATCTGGAAAATGTTTGTAAAATCTTTCGGCAATGAACTTTATCAGCATTGTTTGCCCACTGATAACTTCATCAAGATTCTGGGGAAATAGATGTAGTTCACAAATGTGCAACTAGTACACGTACCTGATGCACTGGGCCTATTGCAAATTAAATTATTCAGAACTTATCACAGATATTTTGTGGGATCACTCCTTATGCTTGAAGTGACTGCATTTGTATGCCAGAGTCTAGGGTGAGGTCTGGGCTGCAACCAGCACTCAAGTTCAGACCAATTTTGACCCATTTTCTCCCCCTTTTGAAGTTTCCTGTTCCACTGAGCTTATTCATTGGGCCTTTGACAATAGTTCAACTCCAGCACTGCTTGACCAGTTGCCTTTTTTTCTCTCTGAATTATTTTATTCATAAGATGGAATTTTGCGTCTGGGTGATGTAAATCAAATTAGGTTTTGCCCTTCACCGACGTATAAACACTGTATACTCAGTGTGTTACCTCCCGAGTGAAAGTTGGAAAAACTCACTCTGGTGGGACTCGAACCCACGACCTCCTGCTTTGTAGTGCAGATGTCTTACCACTCGACCACCGAGCTAATGGGATCGGTTGGCTCCAAATTTTTTCCAACTGTCACTCGGGAGGTAACACACTGAGTATACAGTGTTTATAGGTCGGTGAAGGGCAAAACCTAATTTGATTCAGAATTATATTGTCTTTTCCAAGTCTTGATTTTTTTTTTTTATTATTATTATCTGCACTTTTTTGGCTTATTTAGGCTTTTTCACACCATCAACACTCATAGAATGTCTTCTGCTTAGTCAGTTTCATTTGATCTTTTGAAAGGCAAAGTTTTGTCATTATTTTGGGTTAGGGATTTGTGTATTTATTATTTTAAAGCGCTCTTGCTGCCTCACCGGCTTCATAGAGGAATTATTTGTTTGATCAAATGATCGATGGATGAACGCACCCACTTACCCACACACACTACGTCTTTGTAAACACCTTTAATCGTGGACTGCTATTGTCCCTCTTTTGTTTATACCTCAACTTTTAGGAAGACCTCCCATATGTTTTGTACACACACCTCAAAAGTGGACCTTCGGTCAATTGTGGACCCTATTGTCCTCAATTGTTCAAGGTCCACGATTTGTTTTTGTGTATACACACACATGTTTGTTTATGGTGTTAATCAAGGATTTCCGTTTGTTCCTCTTCATGGATCTTTTGTTCATACTAACTTTTTTGGCAACTGCTCCCTTGATTTTACCCTGTCCTCAATTACACAAGGATGTTTCATATCTGTGTCCATATCACTTTACACCATAAATATGCGCCCCCTCACCCACAATAGCTTTATTAAAAGATTTTAAAAAGTGTGGCGATATATATCCTCAGTTACATATATTTTTAGTTATCCAGTTGGATTAGATTTATGGGGGGTTTTTTTCAAAGAAAAGTATTTTTAATTTATAGTATAATAGGGATGATTGTGTTTGTTTGTTTTCTAATAGAATTATGAGTAGCCACTATTAATATAACACGGACCAGCCAGTGCAAAATTTGACAGAGAACACCATGTGACCTCAATATCATGTGACCTTGCTACAACTTGCCATAAGTTGGCACGAGGTCCTTGTGATATATGATTCAGTTATTGTCGACTGCTGTAAAGTAAGATGACAGTTTTAACATCTGGGGTTTTTAATTCGAAAGTCAAGAAATACATGTACATGTAGATCAGATCACTGCAGTAACATGTTGATTACTCGAGCTTCCCTGCCAGACTTGAGACTGAGAGGCTGCAGTTCTCTGTTGGGAGCACGCAAGCCCAACACGCGCACCCTTCACACGCATGCAAATATGTGCAATGTGGTGTTTATCAGATGTGTTAAAAGCAATGTAGTGTATACATATATGAGGTAATTTGTATGCAAAGCAGTGTATATGAAGTAAACAGTCAACGTGGCCGCTTTAGACCAATGAAATTACAGTATCCAAGACATGACGTAACAATTCTGTAGACCTTATGCGTAACAGCCATCTGAGAGGACACATTGAATGCATAAAAGGTTTAGTCATGCATATCCCAGCAATACAAAGGCATTGCCCTCTAAGATGGCTGCTACGCATAAGGTCTATTTTGCCCGCTAGGGTAACTATGAAAACAGTCACAAACTGAATTTGTTTTTCTTCACCACTTAATAAAGTCCAACTGTTAAACTGATTTTGTTTCAGTTAGAATGTGGGCCTATGCAAAACCGTGATACCAAAGCAAGTGCACTTAATAACGTGAAAATATCCAATATTGTATCTCGGCTTTAGGCAAACTTGTCTCATATATCTAGAAGTAAATTCTGTGGCCACACTTGTGGCTGTTGTCCTCACGTATGGCGTTACCATTTTGCACACTGTGTAAGCAAGATTCAATCAATTACACAAATAGGAATTGTGTACCTGCAGGTGCCTGTTACTAAATTAATTCATATTGTCGGTTGTTTTGACTTCTACTGCCTTATTTATTTGATATTCGATCCTTAAGATTTTTCTCTGTAATTATAATACGTGACATTCAATGTAATACATTTTACAGTTGTAATTCAGAATTCAGGTTTAATTGAATTTGAGGGTTTTCGTCATCTCAAGTACATTTCTTTATTCGTTTTTGTTTATGTTGAACATTGTAGTTTAAAATAGTTTGTGAGATAAAGAGACCTGATTTTAGTGAGTTTGTCGAAGGAAACCAAAATCATAGCCTTTCTCAGTCATGTGGTTGCGAAGGGCGATTTCTAAAGGTTACGTAACACTTCATTTTGAATGATACTACATGTGCACACACATGTTCACGTTGGCGGTCGAAATCTTTGAAAATTAATTTCTCCCGTTTGGAAGACCGTATCTTCATGCAACTTTCAGGGTTTACTTTCCTCATAATGATCCAAGTATGTGCTAAAACTCGTTGTGATGTGTTCATTACTTTTTGTTGAAATTGGAAAAATAGGCCTGGCTATGTGCACTTTTGAAAGTTGGAACACTACGTTTGCAATAGCTGTCAATCTGTTCAAGACTCACAAATATTAATAAGGTTGCTATTCATTATGGTATGCAGTATTAATTTGGAGAAAAGCCTCCTTCACGAGTTATTAATTGATAAATATCACCCCTTTTGCCGGCTTCCATTAGTCGATACCGAGACCCACGCCAAAACACGCCGCTTGACGCTAAAGAGTATGCTAATCAACCATACTCGGTCAACCGTAGCGCCTACATTAATACATAAATTTGGGGAAATTTTCGAACAATTTCTTAAGACTTGAAGGTCAGCTTTACCATTAACCAGTATTTACGTTTTGGCATCGATGACCGACATTTTTTTCACTGACATGAAGTTTAGAATGTCGGTTTCCGTATAAGTTAATATTTCAATCATACTGAGTATATTTTATGAGAAACACAATGTTCAAAAGGCCATGTTTTTTGGGGGTACATGGATTTCACTGCTCTATTATAGCGTCTTAGTACGTAATCGGATTAGCTTTGCCTAACAACACCAGATGCTTTGCCTTAGCAACCACATGACTGTTCTCCCCAGACTAGAGATGTGTCTTACATAAAAGGAGAGGCATCACCCTCAAAGCCTCTGAAAAGTGGTCCTCTTGGCTGAAACCAAACTCACTGTCCACAGCCTTGATTGATTTCCTACTGCATTTCCTTTAATCTTCAGTTCCCTTTGTCTTGTAGTTTTGTATTCCATTGTCTCAGAACAATGTAGCTACATCATTTCCTGTGCTTTCTTTGCTGTCTTAATTCTTACTGAAAGCTGTATGTATATACCTAAACCGGAAATTCATTCTTTTAATTTGACTATGTTTGTTTTTGTAGGTTTTTTTTTCTTTAGCCCCATGTTCTTATTTGGCTTTGGGTTTCTTAATTAAAAAAATATTGGAGTCAGAAAACATTAAACAAATTTAAACCTACACACGAGTGTGGTGACTTTCTGGAGCTTATAGTTCAAATCAGCTTTTCTGATATTATTTCCATAAATTTCTAAAGTGGGAAAATATTTGTTTATTTGACATTTATGTACAGAGAAGTTGGGTGCATCAAGGGAGATTGTTTTGTTTAAATAACTGGGTTGTTTGAGAGGGATTTTATTTATTTTGTTGAAATGCTACCAAGTGGTGAATGAATCATTTTCCACGTAGACATTCACAACACCTTCTATTGAAATTCAAGTTTCATTTATCTTAAATCATTTATGTATATTAGAAAATAATGTCTCTATCAATTGCATTTGCTGATTCTATGAATGCAAAATGAAATTTAAAAGTTAAATCTAAACCCATTGATTGAATTCTTCAACTTACTTCCGAAGGTAGACTTTTGTAGTTGTCCAAATCTGTTACCTAAAACTCATTAGCATGCCACATTGACTTCGTCTTACATAAACTTTCTGTTTATTTACGAGTCGTTTATTTATTTCTGTCGTCTTATTATATGGAAGGACTCTGTAAAAATCAAAATCGCACCGACTTATTTTGGTTTGAATTGTGACAGTGACCTCTTTATTTACCTTTCTTTAATAAAAGACATAGTTTCCAGCGCCTTGAGTACCTAATTGTTGGTATAGATACGTGCACTATATAAGACTCCATTATTGTTATAAGCCCGGGTGGATCTAGAACGCCGATAGAAATCCGCCATTGTACTAGTCTTGGACCGTATTTACCGTCAGCCGGTCCTTGATAAGCACAAGAAGATGAATCAAATTCTTGGGAACTTCTGCACCGCTACCATGGAATTCCGAGCAAACACAAATCCACACCCACTGGTTGACTAAGATTACCAGGCCCATCAGTGTACAGAAATCAAGATATGCAGACGCTTTAGATGATTGATAGTGAATATACCATGGCTTTGATCATCAAAGTGAGGATCTCAAGTCGAAAAAAATTGAGTTCCCTCACAGCTGCAGTAAGAGGACTACGCCATAGTTTTTAATCCAAAATCGATCACGATTTTGATTTTGTGATTTGTTCAACATGAACACGCATGAGTAGACCTGTTACGGTACATTCGTTGATATTACACACCTCGAAGATGGCTGTTGAATGCAATCGATCTATACTAAGAATTAAGAATACAGAATTTTTTGAAATATTGCATTGGTGGAAAGAAACTGAAGGTGCAATTTGACCCTTTCATAAAATGATTTCTCCCCACCTCAGCTTTCCCCATCAAAGTTTAATATGTTTTAAGTGATAAAAGTTACAAATGTATTAAGATTGGTGAGAAGGATAGGGGGCAAAGCGATCCGCCATCAGTCACTTGAACAAAACTTACGGGCGCCAACAAATGTTGGTCACTGTTAAATGGCCCATGCAATGTAATTTATTTTTTTACTTTAAACCTTACAAATGCAACTTTTTCTGTCCCATTAAACCTTATTTTCAATTTTTGTTTTGCCATTTTGAAGGGTATTTTGGTGCATTTTTGGTTGTTATGCTAATGTAATTTGCAAATCCATGAGCAAAACTATGCTGTCATTCAGCACAAAAAGTCGCTAGAATTTTGGATATTTTGCCGTCATCAATTTTCTTTTCTTAGGTGATTCGAGTCGTGTATAAAGTACATGATAGTAAGCCAATGAGCAACCCTTTCTCACAAATGTTTTCAATGAGGAAAATTTGGGTTCATAATTTGAACCGAAACCCCCTAAACTGAACAGTGTCTTCCTGAAATGACATCACAACAACAGCGCCCTCAGTTGTCCAGAACAAAATGGAAAATTTAAAGTTTTCAATAAAATTAACCAAAAAGGGATGTCAAATAGTTTTCATACATTTTAAGAGGAGTAGAAAATTGCACAAAATGAGTTCCTAAGAAAAATGTATCCCTTGGACCCTTTAAGCCTTGACTATACCGCCATCATTTTAAATTGACATGTTTAATACAGAACAAGTTTTAAATTATTGTGCATGTGGACTTCGTGGTGAAAATCACAACAAAATATGCAACAGAAAAGTTACTGTCGTACAAAGGGTCGCTTCACAAGAATACAAATTAGATAAAGAATCTTCCATGCAAGTGCAATAGGGAGCCATACAAACCTTGGCATTGTAATCGTTTTAACAGACACAATGTAGGTCTACATTGAAAAGGTTTACCGAATAATACAGCGTTTGTGTCCCATGCGGGAACTGTGTCACCCTAAAGAACACCTAGTATGCATGAACAGTATTTTTTTTAACCTTTAAATGCGAGCACACAGCTCAGGCACACGTCACAATACATAGTCAGCAGTTTCAAGTCGTATGCGTAGACATGCAGGCCTTCAGATCCGTACAGGCATAAAATCAGACCACCGTATGATTGAAGGAGGCTGATTAACTCTGCAGAGTAACGAGAGGATTTTCTGCCCAAAACCGATTTTGTTGGGGACTCCTTCATCTTTTTATTGTCTGCTGTTATGCCTGATTGATATCGATAAATGCCTAAATCGGTTACCGGCCTTGACGAGATGAGCGTCAATCTTCAGCTGGCTATGGGGGTGTGTTGTCTCCCCCAGCGTTATTATTAGGCCCCCAGCCCGCACTGCCACTACACCGTTTAAATCGCGTTCGCCTCGCACACGGGACAGGGTTTTTCTAGGGATGCCGAGCCATCACCTCGCAGGACCCCTGTGAACCACGTAAGTAACATTTCTGTTATTTTGTTCCACCTTGGACTTTTAAGTACGATCACCCAAACGCTGAAGAGTGGTTGATGTAGGTCCTAGCTGATTTACACCCCTCGGGCTACGTGCAGTTCAAGGTTGTCTAAGGTTCGTTGAGTGGACAATGTCGTCGTATCACTGAAACAAGGTCGTATAAACTCAGATATCTATATTCTACATGTTTCATATCAAAGACAAATTTACATGGCGCCACAAAAGTTTCACATGGGAATTATTCGAGATGAGTGAAATCCGAGTTTAAACAAATACTACCTAATTATTGCACCGACACGACGATATTGTCCAATTGTTATACTTTCACCACATTATGCTACTTTATGCTACTAGTTATGTCAGTGTTGAGACATCGGGAAGGTTATTACCGTGGGTGACTACATTTGCCCAAAATACCTTAAAATCGCAAGAAATTACTAAACAACCCCCCTGTTGTTATTCACCCGTGTACATTATTGCTTGATGTTGAAAACTATCATCCGCCGAAGTTGAAAAGGCCATTCAATATATATTTTCAGGTTTTCATCACCTCCCGCCTCGATTTTCACTCCCGCCCCGATTTATTTTACATTTTATATTTTTTTTTCTGAAAGTGTGTCTTTTTTCTCAAAAAAAGTATATTTTCCAGACAAGTTTCTCACGAAAAATCACAGGCACAGTCGCACTGATTCGCAGGCAAAAATTGTGCACGACATTCAGCGAGGCGATGATGTGGTATTGATCGATACGACAACGCTGTAGGCACCATACAGTGAGCTCGTGATAGTACTCATCATAACTCATGGTCGTAAAGTTTTAAAGTTCAAAGTTAAGTTGACATACATGTATGGCAAGGGTAGGCCAATTGTTGCGTTGTTTCTTTGAACCCTGCATTATGCCTTTCGTAATCGCCCAGACTACATGTGGAGTGAAGGTTTTCAAGCCATGGTTTGGGATTAATGTCCCACGGACATTTTCCGTGAATGAACTGTACAACAGCTTTGCCGCAGGAATTTATAAAATATAAAATACCAATTCCCCTCCCAACCGATTTGTTTTCAATCTTGAGAGATAAAAACCTAAAAATCGATATTAAATGGCCTAAAAATCCGATTAGTAGTCCTCTTTTCATTTATACCCTATACTGGAGATGGGAGAAATCTTTAACGTACGTGAGACAGTCCACTTATAACACCGAAGGATTCTCAATAATCAACGTTTGAGATTTTTGTGCTTTTTATGCAAAATTTCGCTATGGATATTTGTTTTTCCAAAGGGATTGGAAGGGTGAGCATTTGGTGTTTGGGATGGTGTACACAATTGGCCTGATCGAAAAAACTGTACGCATTCAACACACTCTTTTTAGCTGAGGACCTTTCTCGCTTTTCGCAGAAAAAAAAGGCGCTCCCTTCAATGTCGGCGCTTTGAAGATACACTCCTACTAGAGTACTATTATCACAATAACTTTCACGTTGACTGTACGCGTTATTTCATAGTTGACAATAGAGATCGTTTTATAGTGGGCCAATATTGAAATCTCGATCCGCTCTATAGCACACTCCATCACGCAACAGTTTAGACCCCCCCCCCGGCCTCCTTGTTTTTCCTCTCATTCTCTTTAATGTGATTTAAGTCCCGTTCTGGCAAAATATTTAAATTACGATATTTTGCACAACACCGACTGGATCTGTGTAGGCCTACCTAAAGTGCGATGACCTTCCAGTCGTATACGCAAATATGTAGAATGAGGGCACCACGGTAACTGTTTCAGCCGATTGTCGGCTAACTTTGGCAGATTTTTTTTGTTAAAAAACGAGTTTGACAGAAAATTGGACAGGATGGATTTTTTGGCGGATTTCTGGCAGTATTCTGCAAAAATGGTTTAGACAGAAAAAAACATAGTAAATTTGAAAAAAAATGGTAGATTGTCTCGCCCATCTGCCAAATGGAGACCCTCTTCCAGACTGACCATTATTATGCATTATTATGTCCATTTTCACGGCGCATTATATCGGTTTTGAGCGGGTTGTCTTTTTTGGCGATTGATGTCAAGAACTCTCTAACCATATTGAAATAATTCCTGAACAATAATATTTGTCAACAATATTCCCCCCATACGCCACTGCACAGGAGTCTGATTTTCAAATGTCGCTGGTCTGTGTGATTCACTCTCACCCACTGGTCTGAAGAGGGCGCTATTAATATCGGTGTGGCCCATGGTGTGGCCTCTGATCTACCAACCACCTAGGGTTGCAGACCAGTAAATAGACTGCCATAGATCCCAGTAATACACAACGACCCTTCAAGGTGTTTGAAATACACATCTAAACACTTAAAGCTTATTTTCATCATCTTTCATTTCCGTTCATTTTTTTTAGAGGTTAACAAATGACTTTTGGAAGAAAATTCCATCCAAAGATGATCACCCCTAAAAGCAGTCCTGAAGCCCATTACCATTTTGAAAATGGACGCATACGCTTCAATGCAAAAAAAGAGCCATTTTAGGGCCTAATTTCATCCAAATTGCACAGAAATACAGAAATACCAGTTCGCAGTCCTCTGCACGCGCGGCAACTACTAGGTGCTCTGCACCCTTCCTTTTTTTTTTTTTTTTTTTTTTTTTAGCCCTTAATATGCTCTAATACCGAAGAATTTGAGGGCATGATGCAAATCGTGATTTGGCCAGCGTATGCAGTTTTGGGCCTATTACAGGTCTGCATCCCTCTAGTCATGTTCCAAGACCGGATGTCGTTGCTGCTTCCCTGATGCGGCAGGAAGCACATTTTTCTTCTGCAGGCTAGTAAAGTCATTTTATACGCATGCGTGAAACGCATCACGTGAGTAAATTTTCTTGCACTGTGTTTGCTCAAGTCCTATACTTATCGATGAAATAAGTTTCATTTCCCCCTCTGATTCGATGGCCCTGGAGGATTTTTGTTTATAAAAGGAATTTAATTCAGAGAAGCATATTTCGTTAACAACTGACGCATGCGCATTGCGCATTATATTATTCGTGCGCATCATAGTCATTTGAGATGATTTTGCAAATTATCTTTGCAGCTAGGGTTATTTTTTTTCCAAAGGGATTGGAAGGGTGAGTATGCCCTATTTGGGTTTGGGATGGTGTACACAATTGGCCTGAAACCGTACTATTCAACACACTCTTTTTAGCTGAGGATCTTTCTCGTTTTTTGCTGAAATGTCGGCGCTTTGAAGATACACTCTATAGAGTGTTATTATCACAATAACTTTCATGTGGACTGTACGCGTTATTTCATAGTTGACAATAGTGAGATCGTTTAATGGGCCTATATTGCCTTAGCGAACGCCGATTGATGAAATCTCGATCCGCTCTACAGCACATCCATCACGCAGTTAAATATTACAGACTCGTTACTAGAGTTCAGTATAGACTCCCCCTGTTTTTTCCTCTCTTTCTCTTTAATGTGATTTAAGTCCTGTTCTGGCAAAATATTTACCCATTTTACTCCATTAGTTGCACAACACCGACTGGATCTGTGTACCTGTAAGCGTTGACCTTACAGTCGTTGCACACACATTTGTCGAATGAGGGCGCTTTTAGATCGTCCGATTGCTCACGGTCGAGGTCTTGGTGTGGGCGAGCGAAGCACGCAAGCCATTTTCGCTCGTCCCCCCCCCCCCCCCCCCCCGCCCTGCAAACAGGACGCTGGGATACTCGATACTCGATGAATTCGCGCTCTGATTGGATAGATTTTGCGTGACCTGTGACCTGCGCATCATCACGGTCTTGACTCTGCAAGGTTTGAAACGGCCGTTAAGACTGATTCATTACTCTTTTATTCCAGTTTAGAGGTTATTTTTTTTCGTTGAAAAGCGTAATAATGTAGGAAATTCTGTAAAACTTATCTGTGTTGTAAATTTACATATTAATTCCCGTCACTTGCTCAGGCTCCGTTTCGAATCACGAACGGTCGGATTGTATTATGCAACGCTCAAAATGTTGTCCACATGGTCCGCAATAAAACAGAAATCACATCCGGTATGGAATGTGAGCATTTCTATGGAAAGTTTTCGGATAGCATTTGCGCGCACTGCCAAACTGCGGTCTTAAACAGCTGCAGCCAGATGCTTTATGCATAGGTCATAGGTCACTTCCTTTACAAGATTCTGTGAAGCTCATCAGCGTATCCCAGCGTCCTCTTTGCCGGGGCGGGGGGGTACGAGCGAAGCAAGCCATTTTCAACTTGCTTTATTGATCCCATTGAGAGGGCGTTCTCGATGTTTAGGAAGATGACACTGCAAGAAAAATAATGCACAACATATATACCCATTAAAATGAACTCGTGCATAGCATCCATTTTTTGTCCATAAATTTTCGGCCGTGGTTTGGCAGCATATTCAGAAAGCTCTGCTTTCTGTCAATAGCGCCCTCTACAGTTTTGGAGTGTGTGTAAATTTATTTGCGATGTTAAAAATTAAGGCGAGGGTTGGTGACAAAAATGACAAAAGCAAATCCCGAAAATAGATCCCTTATAGGAGCGCCACCACTGGGAACAGATCTTTATTTCTATGATAAGTGGACGCTTTGTAGTTTACTTGGAAGTTCACTGGTAATGTTAAAATCTGTCCATCTTGAGGGCGCTCTGCGCAAACGGTCAATTGAATGGCCTTTTGGGTGTGCAAAGGACTTTTTGGGACTCCTTGTCTTTGCGCGACGAATCATGTGTCACCAGAATTAATCATGCTGACATGATGTTGACATAAATGATCCTGACAAGAAGGTTTTCACTGTATGCACACCCATTTTACTGTATCAACCGTTGATCCATGCACATTATGCCGACACCTTCATCTCTGAAAGTGATCTCTGGTATTGATTTTTTATACGTCTTGTCTCATTTTAATACTTACAATTCCTGAACATGTAGGCCGACTCAAAAATTAATGCAGAACACCCCCTCCCGCGCCCTGGCCTTGTGTTTTCCCGTAGAGATTTTATA